CTCAAGAAGCGAGGGCGTAAAAGGAAGCGGATCAACAGCAGCGTTACTACAGAAACAATCTCTGAGACAACAGAGGTTCTAAACGAACCATTTGACAACTCGGAAGATGAGCGGCCAATGCCACGACTGGAGCACACCTCCAGGATGGGAGAGCTGGAGGAAGAGGACGACGATGACGACGAGACGCAAACGTACAAGATGTCAGCTTTACCAATAAAACGGCGGAGAGGTCGTCCAAAGCTTGAAAAAAATGCACACAGAGACAATCTTGAGAGCTGGAATGAAGGTATTTCCATATTTTTGAAAACTGTTCTTTAAAATTGTAGAGAAATTTGTTAGCATTGTGAAAATGACTGCAAGTTTTGAGATATTTCTTTGGAAACCAAGTCGGCCTTCTTTAGCATGAGTTTAGACCGCCCAAGAACTACTGATTGGCCTGTTGTCTTTTCTTGTGTGATTGGCTGTCACCGCCGTCACTCCTGAGAAACACACTTTACAAACATCATGGTGACATGGTCCTAACTCTGCAAAATTACAATTGTAGGGTCGCAAACCTTTTTTCTCAGCTTTCTGGTACATTTTGTATTTTTGAGATAACAAACAGTCCAGGAGTTACGGTCCTGTGGAAAAACGTGGCTCTGCAAATGACGACAGATGGAGAGGGAGTCTGCTGCTGTAAATTAGGCATTTGTTCCTCTCTTGGGTCATGTTATCTAGATGGCTTGTTATATCAGGTGTATTAATTTACACAAATCTTTGAATTGGTCTCATGTATGTGCGAGTGTTTGGTTTTTAGACTTGTAGTCAGGATGTCTGAAAAAGGAAAGAAAGACATATGAGACTTCTTTAAAAGTCAAAGTTTAAGTTACATTCAAAGAGTGTAACACCCCTCCTAAAACATCCTCACTGGCTCCATAAAGCAGCATATTGACTTCAAGATCATCCACCTCATTTTAAAGCTTTCAATAACCTTGCAGAGTATAATAATTATATTAAAAGTGCTAATAAAATGTATTATTGTTAAATATAATTATTAAAATACAATTCACAAATGTGATTTTATATCTCCAAGCCAATAATAGTTCATGACATGCATTCATATATTTTGTCAGGAGAGGGATAACAGAGATGCAAGAGAAAATGGAAGAAGCAAAGAGAGAAAGTGGGGAAATCACAGAAGAACTACTAGAAAACACACTGATGTTATATATAATAGTTACAATAAAAAATACTTGCATCATCCCCACTTCTGAAATCAAAATTTCGTCCATACCACTGATGATTTTGTTAAAAACACTTATTCCTAAACAAGGTATTATTTCCTCCCTTTAAAATATAATCGGGTCAAAGGTTACCTCTTTTCAGCTCTCTATAGAATGAGGCTAAAATACTACAAAGTCACTCTAATACCTCATACACAACTTGCCAATATTGTTTTCTCCATCTGTACAGTAAATATGTTATTCTACCTGGAGTTCAGAAGAATAAAGATATTTTTATTTTAATTTCCAGGAGCTGAACTTGTCTCAAAGAGACCCTGCAGACCTCGTCCAGTTAAACGGAAGAAAGGCTGGCCCAAGGGGGTTAAACGTGGTCCTCCTAAATGGAGGCACAAAAAAGAACGCAAGATGGGCTATAAGCTGAACCTCTACACGCCGCCCGAAACCCCTATGGAGGCAGAGCAGCACCACATTCGCACCGAGGAAACAAAGCACACACTGGACCAGGAGCCGTTCAGCGGAGATGAGGAAACAAAAGCAGGACGATCTCTGGACAGTCCAGCTTTACTGCAAGAAGGGCTCCACTCGGAGCCCCCGAGTCCTGCTGATCACGGCTCCCAGACTTCCAGCTCGCCTGAAGGATCACCTGTGGCTTCGCCAGTGTGTTCACCTGCTATTTCTGTTGAGGCTCCCTCCCCACAGCCTTTGGAAAGGACTGACTCACCGGAACCGACAGGAGATGAGAAGCTGGAGAGTGGGCGTCAGCCGGGCTCTCCTGGCAAAGCTATGGAGGACGGTTCTGAGAAGGCTGCATCAGCAGAGAGCAATACTGAGGAAAAGTATGGAGAGGAGCAGAGAGCTCGGATAGAGGATGAGGATGCTGATGATGAAGATAAAAGTCGCAGCAAGAAGGTGGTGCAGAGTGGCGCGGAAGAGTCAGAGCAGAGTTCGAAAAACTCACCTAATGTCCCCCAGACTTTTTTAGATCCAAAAGAAGATGATAGCTGTGAACTGAGTCAGCAGGTTTCTAAAGAGTCATGCGTTGAAGAAGTACCGGTTGGTGCCACAGAAAAGCTGCAGGATGCAATAACAGAGACGGCCGTAGAAACACGGCCTCCTGAAGCAGCAGCAGTTGCTTCCATAGCACCTCCAGACTCTGATAATCCAGCAGACTCAGAGTCTGAGGAAGAAGGCATGCCCAGTCCTGCTTCAAACCATCCACCCCTCCCACCCGCAGGAAGGTCCACGCTGAGCCCCGTGCTGAGAGAGGATCCCCCTGTCTGCACAGAGTTTGACTCAGAGACCGTCCAAGCTGTTCAGTCTCTGACGCAGGAAAGCGAGGGAGAGACGGTGTTCCAGGACTGCGCTGAGAGCCAGGAGCCCTGCAGGAATCTGCAGACGTACGCCCATGTGGCCCAGAGCCCTCAACTCACTTCCCTGGACGACTGCCCTCAGTCAGACCACAGCAGCCCCCTGTCCTCGGCTCAGTCCCATCCCAGCCAGTCAGTACGCTCCGTCAACAGTCCAGCCGTCTCGATCCTGGAAAGCGGCTATACACAAATAAGCCCTGACCACAGCGCCATATCGGTGCCCTCACTCCACAACATGGAGACCAGCCCAATGATGGACGTACCGTCTGTGTCAGATCACTCCCAGCAGGTCGTGGACAGCGGATTCAGTGACCTCGGTAGCATCGAAAGCACCACGGAGAACTACGAAAATCCCAGCAGCTACGACTCCACCATGGGGGGAAGCATTTGTGGTGCCGGCCCCTCCCAGAACAGCTGCTCGTATGGCACTATCCCCCCCAGCGGCCTGCCCCAGAGCAGCTGCGCCGTGAGCCAGCAAATGGCCGCCGTTAACCCCAACGGCTGTGGAATGATTCAGCAGAACAGCCTGAGCTCGCCGCCGCACTGCGGTGTCAAGTCGCCGCAGGGCTGCGTGGTGGTAGAGAGGCCTCCCAGCAACTCCCAGCACTCCCAGCACAGCCAACACACCCAGCGCAGCCAACACAGTCAACACAGCTCTCACAGCAGGCACGGCCCACCACACAATCAACACAGCCAACACAATCAGCACACCCCTCACAATCAGCTCAGTCAACACAACCAGCACAGCCACCATCACAATCACCGCCTGCAACACAATCAGATCAGCCAGCACAATCAGCACGCTCAGCACGGCCTGCACAGCCAGCAGCAGCAGCAGCCGCCCATGGCCCCGTGCTCCATCCCCCCTAACTTCACCACCACCATGCAGCTGGCAGACATCCCCGAGTCTGGCAACCCCAACTTCGCCCTCTATGAGAGAATCAACCCTCAGGGGGAGTATGGCGGCGGACATTATTCCCAGTCCTCTGGCCTCAGCCTGGCCAAGCTGCAGCAGTTCACCAACACCTTCATCGACCACCCTCATTCCCTCCCCTTCAACCACGCAGCCTCACACCCCATCACCTCGTATGCAAACAATCCGTCGCTATCATCACAGCACTCCAGCTTGGTCTCCTTACCCCAGACCCCTCACAGAGTCCCCAACCCACAGGTGCAGGCCACCATGACTCCTCCCCCAAACCTGAGCTCCCCATCCTCCATGATGCTGCAGCCCAACATGGGTATCTCCCGTTCACAGCGCGTGCACCAGATGACGTCAAAGAACCACATCTCGGCCCGCTCCAAGTCGGCGCCGCTCTCCCACAACCACCAGCATCAGATGTATACCCGTACGCCGCAGGCTGTTGCCATGCAGGCGCCGCCCAGGACGCTGGCGGCCATGCCGCGTATGAACATGAGCATGAACATCATGCCCGCGCCGGGTTACAATGTCAACTCAATGAACATGCCCTCCCTCAACGCCATGAACGGCTACAGCATGAGCCAGCCCATGATGAACAGCAGCTACCATGGCAACCACGCCTATATGAACCAGTCACCCCAGTACTCTATGCAGATGGGCATGATGGGAACGCAGCCATACCCCCAGCAGTCCATGCAGGCTCCTCCACATGGCAACATGGTGTACCCTCCAGCTGGTCACCATAGTTACATGAACACGGGCATGTCCAAGCAGTCCCTGAAAGGTCCTCCCTTAATCAGGCGGTAACTCTCCACAGGACAGAGCTGCTTCTCCTCCTCCCGTGCATTTGGCTGTTTTTAAAAAAAAATGCACTGATCAGGCCTTGCTTTTTGTTTTTGTTTTTGGTGTCCCTTTTTTATGTTTGTTACTTAAAAAAAATATAAAAATAAACCAGCAGCAGCACTTGTAAAGAATGCAAAAACTTTCATCCGTGAGGTAACTTTTAAAGCTAACGTTTAAAAAGTATTTTTTGTTCCTCCAGATGGGAAGCCTTACATCATTAAGATGAAAATCTATTTAATTAGTGTTAGCGTGTCTGATGTGTCTTTAGACCAGGCTGGTTGGGAGCTCAGTTGTAGAAGTTTCATCAGTGTAGCAGCCTCAAATGAAGCCATTTAATGCGCCTGCTGCGAGTGGAAATAGTGGCTGTTCAGTGTACCTGTCTAACAGTGCTGACAATTAGTTTGTACTATACTCATGCCTTTGTATATTTAAATTATTGTACTTATTTTGTAAAGTGATAAAAAGCATGCTTCGGTCTCTGTTAGTGACAGTGCATTGAGTAGTACTGTACAAGTGTTGTGCTTAATAGCAAGCCATTTAAAAAAATATATGGCCTTTATTAGGTTTCCCTTCACGGGGAGAAAGATGAAACTATATTTTATTAAATCTAATAATGTAAAAAAAATGTAAACTTAGTCTTGTTTCTCTGTTTGGTTTGAGAGGTTTTATTGCGATGTATGTATAATTCTGAAGCCTTTTTGTAACAGATCTCCTCCAGGCAGCTTTCTGTTTAATAAAACAGACTGATTTCTGTCAAAAAATAAAGCATATCTCCGTGTTTGTACCCTTAAAAACAAAAACATTTCAAAGTGTCCCGAAGGGTGGCAGAATTTTAAAAGAACTAAATGATTATAAGGATGAAATAACAATACAGATATAAATCTAGTCCAAAGTCGATATTTTACATAATGCCTTTAAAGCTACGTTTTCATTCCATGTGTAGATTTGTTTTCTATCTTTATAAAGCATTGGATTTATATTTTACCGAATTGTAGAAGAATAGAGCCTGTGAATAGACCAAACTAAGCTAATGGATCGCATGTAAAACGCAACTTGTACTTGTGTTTTTGTTAATATTGCTCTTTTGTAGCCTTTGTACTTGTACAGAGTTGCTGGTAAGAACAGGGGGGGAAATATCTGGCTATGTGCACACAAATTGAACAGAATGACATTCTTGTATTTATGACTTTTTTTCCTTTTGTCAGTCACTTAAAATGCTGTAAATTTTAGCATAAGAATAAATTATGATTGACCATGTACTTGATTGTTCTCCTTTAATCAGAAGCATAGCTTAGATCCCACTTTTTTGGAGAAAATAAACTTATCTGGACCAGAACAGTGAAAATAAATTCATAGCCACATATGGTGAATATTTAATTCCAGTACAAGGATTTGGTTTTTAGAAGCTTAGTTATATTCAAGGACATGAAAAACCTACTTTAAAAAGTTTATGTAAGAATATGTCTCTAGCTTGTTTCAGATTTTTGCTTTTAACTTTTGAAGTAAATTTTTTTTTTTAGACTTGAGCAGAATCAGTCTCCTCTTCCCTCCAGGAGCTGTTGATCCAGCTCCCTCAGCTGCTTCAGGAAGCCCCAGTTAGGGATGATCCGTCTCTGTCTTTTTACATGCTCGATGGCGTCCACAACTGTCATGTTCTCATAGATCATCAGGTAGGCGAGAAAGAGAGTGGCAGATCTGCTTCTTCCCATCACACAATGCACCAGCAGTTTATCTGGAGACAAACAGAGCGATTAAAACAGTAAAGTAGCAGAAAATTCTTTTTTTTTAAAGATGGGAGCTGTTCCTAGTATTTTCATTACTTTCTTCACATATACAATCTTATTTAAAAGCAATAATGCCTCTTGAACATTCACGTTTCATTTTGGCTGATTAGGTTTCTCGTTATAAACAAGTTGGAGCACTTTATAAATGTAAAGAGAGGAGGTACAATTTGTTTTGGTCTATCACAAGTAATCAATAAAATTCATTAAAGCATGTGGTTGTGTAATACACTAAAAAAGTTCAAAAGGTTGAGCAAAATACTGATGTTATGATAAAAGGAGGCATATTATAAAGGTATAGTGGAGGATTTTCAAGAATTTTTCAAAAGACCAGCACTCTCCAATTTAAAACAAAAATGCACATGCACTAGCCAAGAGGGAATGCCTATTAAATGCATGTGAGAGCATGCAGGAGCCCATTTCTCATCGTGCACGCTCTGTTTTTTAAGTTGCTGTTTGCATCGCCCATACAAGCTTTCCAAAAGAGGATTTGCGAATTTTCCACTATGTCAAACTCACCACTGGTAAGTGGCCGTAGGTCGGCCTTATGTAAAGATATAACCAGGATGATTGACATTAAGGAGGATCACTTATTTTGATGATCCTCCACTATACCTTTAATAGAACTGGTGAAATAGTCTTACTCTGAGGATTTTCTAGAGTCTCCTTAATGAACTTTGCAGCAGAGAAGAAATACTGGCTGAGGTCAAAAGTTGGGATGTCTTCTGCCACCACGCCATAATAAACAACGTCCATGTCCCTGTAGTAATCCGCTCCAGTGTCCACGTTGTTCCACGTTCCCTCTGCTGCATTCAAAATGTGAGTAATACCCAGCCCCTTCAGGGTAAACTTGTCCTTCGCAGTCTGTCTACAGGAAGTTAATAAAACATGCTCTTAATACCTTTTAGTGCTGTGAAAAATTGTTTACCCCTTACGTATTTGCTTTGTTTTTTTTCTATGATAATATAACATTGGCCCTCTTTTGCTGAATGGTGATTTAATCATCAGGTTAAAGACATCTATTTGGTTCTGATCCATGAGCCACAGCAAGCACTGATTTATACCTGACCTATAAAATAAGAAATAATATTTCTCTGTCATGATGAAATAGGCCGAACAATACCCTAATGGTCTGTAGAAATTTAAGAACAGATGAGAAACAAAGTCCGTGATTTATAAGTAAAGAAAGATTTTAGGGTTTTTGGAATTCAGGGAACCACAGCAGTGAAAACTAAGAACATTACTGAACCTTCAAAGGTGACGCCATATTTGTCCAAGAGCACATGGAGAATTCATCAAGCAGCTCACAAGAGTGCCCAGAACAATATATAAAGCACTGCCTCATTTAAACTCATATTTCAACACCAAGAAAGAGAGTGGACAAAAATGGCTTCAGGGCAGAGATCCAAGAAAAAAAATAAACACTACTATGGTTTTCTGAGGACTAATTACACTGTAACAAAAAATAATAAATATCACCTTGTCAATTTTTCTTGAAATAAGAGTCTATTTCCTTGATTTAAGCAGGTAGAAAAGTTTGGCAATGGAATAAAATTATTTCTGTTTAAAATATGACAAAACCCCATCATCTTATTTCAGGTGCAGAATTTTTATTTTCTTTTAGGGAAAAATGCAAATTTTATTGTCAGATCATCTTATTTACCAAATTAAATTAGCAATGCATACCTTTTGACTGAAAGTATTAGCTCAGTGCATATTTATTTTATATGGGACGCTGCATGTTTAAATACGCATTTATCTAACCTGAGACTCCTGAATTGGGCAAATTGTAGCTCCACCTCCTGTTCTTAGCTCCTTTCCACATCTTTCAAGAGTCAAACCACTATCCTGGGTAGGAAAGGAGCATTTACCTTTACAGATGTAATTTCTGGATGCAAGCGCACACGGACAATGCAAGTCAAAACCAGGATTAAAGCCTTCCAAAAAAGAACTACGAAAACAAAAGTTGGATCTCCATTTTAAAAGCTAAAACACATGAAGGAGATTAAATTTTCATGTGTACACATCAGGGAATAAGGTATTTTTGTTAAACTTGGTGAGGTGGGCTGTTTCTATACGTCCTGTCACACAAGGGATTGTGAAAAACCGTATATCTCCTACTCTGCAGATAGGAACGTTGGGAGGTATCTATGGAAACTTCCTAATTCCTCTTCCTACCTCCTCTCTTACTGTCTGCACTATTTCCACAACACTTATCATAGTGAATGTTAATGCACTTCCACTTTGGCTTAACTGTCCTTACCAATTGCAATATTTGGAAATAGCCAGAGGAGATTAACAGTGCAAATGACCACATTGCTTTGGGGCAGATAAACTTATTTTTTAGTAAATTATCTATTATTTTTTTTATCCGTTTTTTCTGTGTAGGCAAGGTTGAAACTTTAAAAAAGAATACCATTCTGACAATGAGACGTTGTAATAATAGTGTGATGATCTGGCCCTGCATAGCTGCTTTAAGACCTAGACATGTTGCTGTTATTAACTTAACCATGAATTCTGCTCTCAAGTAGGAAATCCTGAAGGAGAACGTCAGTTGATGATCTCCTCTGAGCAGCTCAGGAAGGATAAGACTTTATTTCAATTATTTCTTTTCAAGGCATTTGAAAACACTGTTCTATATACAGGTGCTGGTCATAAAATTAGAATATCATGAAAAAGTAGATTGATTTCAGTAATTCCATTTAAAAAGTGAAACTTGTATATTATATTCATACATTACATACAAACTCATATATTTCAGATGTTTATTTTGTTTAATTTTGATGATTACAAATGACAACAAATGAAAATCTCAAATTCATCATATCAGAAAATTAGAATATTGTGAAAAGGTTCAAAATTGATGGCCCCTGGTGCCACACTCTAATCAGCTAATTAACTCAAACCACCTGCAAAAGCCTTTAAATGGTCTTTCAGTCTAGTTCTATAGGCTACACAATCATGGGGAAGACTGCTGACTTGACAGTTGTCCAAAAGACCACCATCGACACCTTGCACAAGGAGGGCAAGACACAAAAGGTCATCGCTAAAGAGGCTGGCTGTTCACAGAGCTCAGTGTCCAAGCACATTAATAGAGAGGCGAAGGGAAGGAAAAGATGTGGTCAAAAAAAGTGTACAAGCAAGAGAGATAACTGCACCCTGGAGAGGATTGGGAAACAAAACCCCTTCAAAAATGTGGGGGAGATTCACAAAGAGTGGACTGCAGCTGGAGTGAGTGCTTCAAGAACCACCACACACAGACGTATGAAAGACATGGGTTTCTGCTGTCGCATTCCTTGTGTCAAGCCACTCTTGAACCACAGACAGCGTCAGAAGCGTCTTGCCTGGGCTAAAGAGAAACAGGACTGGACTGCTGGTGAGTGGTCCAAAGTCATGTTCTCTGATGAAAGTAAATTTTGCATTTCCTTTGGAAATCAAGGTCCCAGAGTCTGGAGGAAAAGAAGAGAGGCACTTCATCCACGTTGCTTGAAGTCCAGTGTAAAGTTTCCACAGTCAGTGATGGTTTGGGGTGCCATGTCATCTGCTGGTGTTGGTCCATTGTGTTTTCTGAGGTCCAGGGTCAACGCAGCCACATACCAGGAAGTTTTAGAGCACTTCATGCTTCCTGCAGCTGACCAACTTTTTGGAGATGCAGATTGCATTTTCCAACAGGACTTGGCACCTGCACACAGTGCCAAAGCTACCAGTACCTGGTTGAAGGACCATGGTATCCCTGTTCTTAATTGGCCAGCAAACTCTCCTGACCTTAACCCCATAGAAAATCTATGGGGTATTGTGAAGAAGAAGATGCAATACACCAGACCCAACAATTCAGAAGAGCTAAAAGCCACTATTAGAGCAACCTGGGCTATCATAACACCTGAGCAGTGCCACAGACTGATCGACTCCATGCCACGCCGCATTGCTGCAGTAATACAGGCCAAAGGAGGCCCAACTAAATACTGAGTGCTGTACATGCTCATACTTTTCATGTTCATACTTTTCAGTTGGCCAACATTTCTATAAATCCTTTGTTTTTATTGGTCTTCAGTAATATTCTAATTTTCTGATATGATGAATTTGAGATTTTCATTTGTTGTCATTTGTAATCATCAAAATTAAACAAAATAAACATCTGAAATATATGAGTTTGTATGTAATGTATGAATATAATATACAAGTTTCACTTTTTAAATGGAATTACTGAAATCAATCTACTTTTTCATGATATTCTAATTTTATGACCAGCACCTGTATAGGCATTTTATCTTTACTTGATATTTGAATTTCTTTAATGACCTGAAATATTGAAGTGTGACGAAATAAAAGCAAGAGCAAAAGAAATCTATAGGGGCAAACAATTTTTCACAACTATTTCTATTTTTAGACTTTCTGGGACTTTTTTTTTTACTCACTCATCTCCGATGTAGACGTTAGGCCAGACCTTGTTGACATGAGTGTAAGCCACGCTCCCACGGTTGAGGATTTTCTCCAGCTCGTAGCCCCCAGGTGTGACATAATCTTCCGTTGCGCTGGACTCCTCTGCTGCTTTTGTAACATTTATCTTTGATCCGCTCTTTGACTTATATGAAGCCATTTCTCATAGTGGCTCCCTTCCACACATGGTTTCTCTGCCCAAAGTCGTAAAAAAAAGCAACCTTTTTTTGTTTTTTATCTTCAATGTGCATCTCAAGCTCCACTCACCGAGACATGGAGGACCTTTGTTTTCATCCCTCTGCCAGCTTGCTTGAAGCAGAACATGTGAAGGGATAGTTCTGGGTGCAGATTGTGTAACCTTCTCTGTGACGGAGCATCAAATGCAGGGGATATTTTTAGGGCTGTGATGTGGCAGGGCCCCCTGACCTTAGCTGCCATGTCTTCCCTGCCTGTGGGGGAAAGCTTCCACCCAGCCAGTCCCTGCCATCCACATCTAAACACAGGACTTTAATCTCAGCTGCTGGCAGCAAGCTGTGTTTATCCAAACTCGGAGCTTGCCAGAGTATACCCACATGCAGTGGAGTGAACAGGGCCATCTGAGCCTTTGCTCCTTGAAATCGTGTCAGTCTCCTTTAGCCTTTCTCCATGTCTTAAGATGCTGGGAGAAAGCATGTAAGTGCAGTCTTACAACATCCGTTAAGGATGGTCTGCATCTCCCACAGCCTCTAAGGCTGGAACTGAAAAGTGTCAAGCGGTTCAACAGACGAGGTTTTTCACTGGGATGGCACATGCCTTTGATTTCCCATTATATGATATGCACGGTCAGCTCAGAGATCTAAATGGGAGCCCCTGAAAGTGGGAGCGTGGCGATAGCTGCGTTGCAGGATGGCGGGATGAAGCTGCTAACATGTCAGACTGAGTTTTCACACCATAAAGCCCCCTTTATTTTCCCTCCTCATATCTTCATATTCCACCGTCATTCATTCTGACAGTGAAATCATTAAACCTGTGATATCCAATTCCTTTTATTTTGACAGCATCTTTCTCCCAGCGAGCTCCGAAGAGCATCTCTTATTAAGATGGCTTCAGCTTTTCATCTCTCTTTTCAAAGTCTGACCTGAATCTGTATACTCTCTCAGAACAAGGATGGCATATTTTTTTTGTCATCTTGCATCAAGCCTTTTTAGATATTTTACAGCTTTAACCGTACTTCACTGGACTGAATTGAATACTGAAGTGGAGCATTGTTTATTTATAGGCATAAGCTGTTTCTGTGTTGTTTCAATGCAGGAGGGGTCGTGGCAGCTTACACTGACGGTGGTGTATTTTAGAAACCATTCCTAAAGGAGAGACGTGTAGATTTGAGATCCATCATGGGAAAATTTTCTCAGACAAATTAAAGATCTTTTTTCTTCGTCCTTTTTTGTCACCAAACTTTGCAGGTAATTAGTAAATCAACGTGACAATGACAAAACCATTTTAACAATAGCTTTCTTCTTGTACTTCTTCAGTAAAGGTTAGACATGTGTAGAGCATAACATTTCTTTGTAATTAGATTTTCAAACCTGAACAGTGGATCTCATTGCTTTTTCTAGAGTTACCATAGACCTTTGGCTTTTTCTCTGGCAATATGTCCCCCATTTCCAGCCTGTCAAACTTAGGCAGCTAACATTGCCTTGGTAGGTTTGCAGTTGTGCTAAAGTCTTTCTCTTTTCAGATTCATTCTCTCTGATCTGTCTGTAGCAGCTCCTGGTCTGCTTGATGCTGTTTGATCATTAATGTTTTCTAACAAACATTTATGGCGTTTAGTGAAGAGGTTATGTTGTTACAGAGGGGATAATCATACACCGTTCACTAATAGTGTACTTTCTGAAGGCAGCTGGTTGATTGGCTCATTTAGGGGATAAAAGGCCTCAAAATAAATCCATTCAATCAATTCGGAAATACTTTATTAATCCTAAGGGGAAATTAAATGTAGTAACTCATCAGCTCTTTTCTCAAATAATCTGAATAATCTTGCAGGAAATTATTTTCTTGCATTGCAACCATTTCACAGAAGAGAGAAAAACAAGATTGTAAGAACAAATAAGATATAAGAATAAAATAAGATTAGGATTACAGTATATACAATTGACATTTTTTACAATTTACAATGCTGCTCAGTACCAAATTACTATTATTGCACATGACCTTGTTATTGCACATAGTGAAGTAAAGAAATAAATAAATAAGTAATTAAATTAAATGACTGTCAGGGAGATGAATTATACAGTTTGATATCCACAGGCAGGAATGACCTCCTGTGGCGCTCTGTTGAAAATAATTGTTAAATAATTTTAAATAATTGTTGCAGATATTGATAAATGTAGGCAGGAAGGATCTTTTATAGCGGTCGGTCTTCCAGCCTTCTTTAAATCTCTCTTTGTTCCTAATGTCAGAAAGCACTGAGCATACTGACTCATAAAAGAGATGACTTGAATTTCCTGCTTCTCTCTTCTCCTTTAACCTGCTTTGTTTCCTCTGTGCCTCCTTTTCAACTCAGCTGGTACTTGCGAAGTAGCTGAAGTATTTCAGCTTTAGATATGTTAATGAGCTGCTCCCAGGTATAAAAAGGAAACTTTACATGGTTAGCAAATGTCTAAAAAGATAACATAATACTGGCAAAAAGCTCTTCAGTTGTACAGCATCAAAAGCAAGAGCCAAAAAAAAAGGAAAAAAAAAAAAGAAATTCTAATCCACAAATATAGGATCTATAGAATTTTTTAGAAAGTAACTTGATAATCAAGCTAGCAGAGATACCCCAACATGGAGCAAGCTTACAGTATGCAGTGAAATTCTAGAATTTATTTGCAGATGTCTTTAACCATGTGTATTTTTATTTTATTTTACAGTTACACACCACTTTGGGCCGGATTTATCAAGATCCAATTTTGCGTGCAGTAATTTGCGCTCGCAAACTGGAATTTTGCGCGAGGGGCTGAACCATGGTTTGCGGGTGATTTAACAAGAGCGATTGCGTAACTGGTGGCAGGTGCAAAACTGTTGGAGACGCCCTATTTAAATGATGGTTTTGCGCGTTTTGTGATTGGCCGCAAAGTAGTTTGTAGTTTCTACAAACTAGTGCATTAAGAAATTTAAATCTTACAGTGATATATAAAGAAAAAACTTTGGCAACCTTTATTCCCTAAGGTGGTATGTGGCTGAATTTCTACTTCACTGCAGTAAAAAAAAAAAACAAAAAAAAAAAAAAAAAAGTTTTTTTTGTATTGGCCTGTAGAAAAATGCACATACCAAATGGCTCACAAGAAGTGACTGTGGATGAGATTACTGCGCGTACGCATCCCCGCAGCATTGGCATGTTGCTCCACAGGCGCAGGGGGAGAACCTCGACCCCGTCGGACAGCACTTCTGAAAAACGAGATTGGGAGATCCCAGCTCTCGCTGCAACCGTACGCTGGAATGACCCAGATGCAAAAAAGTGCAACGTTGCAAGGAGTTTTGTGATATCTGGTATTGCGTGGGTCCTCCTTGTGGCTGGCTCCAAATCCATTCGGAGTTCCCCCAACAGCTCCAAAATGGCAATGCTGGATAAACGACATGTTTTGATGATCATTTCCTCGTTCATTCCAAGAATATTCACACGGAGTGAAAAAATGCGTTCTCTGCGTCTCCTTGCTTCATTTCGATGTCTCCTTCTTGCGACAATAACCGCTGCCATGTGTGCGCAATTACGCATACAGACCATTTGCACCTTCTTTTGAAACGTGTTAAATATAGAGTCAGATACCGTTAGCAAAATTGTTTTTAGGTTTAATAAATCACTTTGCGAGTGCTAAATTAATATATTTACATGTTCTTCTCCCACAAGACGCACTTTTGCGTGTAAACGCCCCATATTGCATATTCATTGCAGAAAAAGTACTAAATGGATAAGAGGCGCTATTTAGCACGTTTTAAAGACCAAATCCTTTTAGCACGCTGTTGATAGAACAGTTTGTACATTTTTTAGCGTGCGCAGTGAAATAGCTCACGTTTTTATACACGCAAACCTTTGATAGATCCGGCCCTTTGTGTTGAACAAAATCTACAATCCCAATAAAATACATTACCATATGTAAGGTTTAGAGAAAGAGAGTCCAAAACACAGTACACCAATTTTTATTTTTTTTGTGTGTACCTTTTCAACTTTAGGGTTTTGATTGGATTAATATTTTACAAAGGTGGTGGACAAAAAAAAGTGTAAGGATATTTAATTTTTTTGTTAATATATCAATATATATTAACAATATATCAGCAATATATCTGATAGCTATGATTGTAAAGCTGTAAGAGTTCTGATAATGAATTACACACATTTGTAATTACGGTTTTTAAAAAGGTAATGAAAAACACTGTGTTACATTAAAAGTTGACAGAAAATCTAGACTGAAACTATTCCATTTTGACCTTAAATACTGGGGATTTATGAAAAAGAGGGATTATCCTTCATCCACACCTTTCTCCATCTGCATTTGTTAGGTCTTTTTTTCTTTCCAAAGCTAAAATTGAGTCCAGCTGACGGAGCTGGTTCAGAAATCCGATATTTGGGAGGATGTTTCTGCTCCTGGAGACAACTTTCACAGCTTCCACCAGGGTAAGACCCGCTTTGATCATGAGGAAAGCCAAAACAAGGGCTGCTGAGCGGCTGATTCCCCTTGCACAGTGGACGAGCACCTTACCTGCACAAAGAAATAACAGCTACAAATAGTTTTTCTATATATGTTAAGTATGAGTATGGAATGTGAGTAATAATACCTTTTTTTCAATTTTTTCACAATGAAACAAAAAAAACATACAAAACACAAAATTACCATATAATGGTATATGGTGAAAAGTTGATCATAAAACGAGATAAAAAAATGTGCTTTAGATTGCATGAGACTCAACACTGGTGCTGGATTTACCTTCCAGTAGAACATCAATCCTATAAAAAACAGTTTAAGCTACAAAGCAGTTGTTAAAATCATATATTTATAAAGTATTATAGCCCAGCTAAAGTTGTTTCAGTAATTGATGACAAGAAAAAACAAAAAAATCCTACAGCTTCATATTAGTTCTCACTAAACTAAAGCTTTTTTGCAAAGAAATATGGGCAAAACTCTCAGAAGCTACATCTGCAGGTGGTTGAGCAAAAACACATCACACAGTTTCTGGCTTATGTTTAGAGACTCTTTGTAGGCTCTTCACTACTTCTGTTGATAATTTTCATAGAGAAACCTTGCTTAAACAACTGCACTCACACATATTCAGACAGGTTTGTGGATTCAGATGTTTACAGATGTTTGCTGCCAAGTAACCTTGGCAGCATCTAAATATATCCTGTATTGAATAATATTGTGTATTTTTCACTGATGTTATTATATATGCATTGGTTGTTCTTTTTCTCTATCTTCCTATATATATATATATATATATATATATATATATATATATATATATATATATATATATATATATATATATATATATATATATATATATATGTATATGTTGCTTTAAATTAGAAATGGTTGTAGCTGTGTAAACAGTGTAAACCAATGGAGCAAGTACTTACATCTTAGCTCTGAATTGGACAGCACATTATAAAACAGCCAAACTGCCATGATGCAAGCATTGCTTAAATACCATCTTGCTGAGTTCTCATCTAAACTCATTCAATATCACTGACAGAGGCATCAACAAGCTGCAGCCCTTCGAACTGTTACGTGACTCAGCTGTGCATCACATGTTTTAAACACAGTACTGTATACCACGCTAGGAAAACCCTGGACATTATGGCGTCTTTAGTGAAGAAGTATCTGCTATGATCGACTTCAACAAATCACCTGTCGCCTACTTTAAGCAGAAACCCCTCCAGAATCATCTGAATAAAACATGCAAAGTATCCGTGGAGACGTGCTGGAACTCTTTGTATGCAATTTTGGACTCCATCAGAGTTTAGTATGAGGATGCCCGCACACTTCTAGAGGAGCGAGGAGAAGTAACCCCAGTAAAGAGACACTGGGTTACATTGTTGGATTTCTGTTGCCATTAAAAATGGCTACCAAAGCTTTGGAGGAATCCCAAACCTTGGTTATTTCACCTAGCCACTGTCTGGTTGGACCGTCTGAAACGCCACCTGCAGCCACCATCACCTGACAAGTTTGACTCTGTCATAATTTAATGAAAAATGCCTCAAAATTCTGACTCTAACAAAATTCCAACTGCATCTCCTGAAGAAGCTGGCCATATTCTTGCACCCCAAACTCAAAAGCCTCAAGCTGCTGTCTGCCCAGAGTGACAGGATGATTGTTCACAGCGAAGCAAGGCGTCTTGTTAAAGGTAAAAGAAAAAATAGCTGGCTTGATATAATTTCAGTGGCAAGCACATACAACACATTATTTGTCCATGGTGTCTCTCATGTCAAAATGTCAGAATAAACCATTCAACAAGGTAGATGCATTGGTACAATAGCAGCACCTGAAGAGTGCTACATTTATTCATTAAGAACAGAACAAAAACAATGCCAGTTTCTCAATATGTGTACTTGTGCGTTCTCATGCGCTCGTGAAATGTCATCAGACTCAGCCACAGCACTTTTCCAATTCACAAGAACAATATAGAGAATGTACAAAGTTCCCGGATATTGTTCTCGCCCTTCCAAAAAAATGAACTATGGTGGGCAAATCCATCAGATATTTCACACCAAAAAATAAAGAACTAGCGTATTTTTTATGCATTTTTGTTGCCATGAAAATGGCCACCATATTTGCATCGCTACCACTTTTTGCTGACACAGTGACAACAAATTTCAAATTGAATAGAATTATCATGTGCACTATAAGCAGCCACACACTATCTCACTGGTTAATATATATGATTAACATTGGCCTCGCGTTTCCAAAGAGAAGCGCACTTTAAGAGCAGAACCAACTCCATTTTGACTTGGAGCTAGCTTGAAGCATGAAGTCAAATGTTTGCCTTTGTTGGTGTAATCGCCTTGTTAGGGTGACGTTCCTAATTTGGTTCCAATGTAATGCCATCCATATCCATTGTGGGATAGTTTGACCAGCAATGGACCCAACATTACTGTTATATAAAATGAGTAGCCTGAGCCTAGCTAAGATAGTTAGCTTTGTTTTATGCAGCCTGGCGTGTTAAAAAAAATCTAATTTTATATTTGGGACATTGATTCTTGAAAACCAGCTACTCTGACTATACACGGCAAGAATACAGCATTACGTCACATACAGTACTGCAGTATGTGGTGATGTCATCAGTACTGCCTCTGTACCTCGTGTCTGCAGCATGTGGTGATGTCATCAGCACTTCCTCCGTACCTCGTGTCTGCAGCATGTGCTGATGTCATCATTACTGCCTCCGTACCTCGTGTCCGCAGCATGTGCTGATGTCATCAGTACTGCCTCTGTACAGAGTATACTAATACTAATACTATGACTCTTTTTAGCCTATTTCTGATGTCATACTATACTATGACTCATTTTAGCCTATTTCTGACATCATATTATACTATGACTCATTTTAGCCTATTGTAGTAGGCTAAAATGAGTCATAGTGTAGTGTGACATTAGTAATAGGCTAAAAAGAGTCATAGTATAGTATGATATGAGAAATAGGCTAAAATGAGTCACAGTATAGTATGACGTCAGAAATAGGCTAAAAACGAGTCAGTATAGTACAACGTCAGAAATAGGCTAAAAGATTCACATTATAGTATGATGTCAGAAATAGGCTAAAATGGGTCATAGTATAGTATGATGTCAGAAATAGGCTAAAAAGAGTCATAGTATAGTATGTATCAATTCAATAAAGGGAGTAGTAGGTTATATTACAAGCTACATAATGTGTAGTCAGTCTGAATTTCTTCGGTCAAATTGATCATATTATTATTATTAAAGTTATCAACTAATATAACCAATTTACCTATTTTGTGATGTTCTTTAGCTTGATAAAGCCGTCTTGGTCTACAGACAGAGCTCAACCTAGTGGTAAACATTTGCTTATTGCTCCTTTAGAGAACTTTTAGTTAAACAGCAACATTTTAATAAACTTGCTTTTCTTATTGATTTAAATATCAGATATGGTGGAAAAAAAGGCTTAAAATGATCTATACACAAAAATCAGTTAGCTAGAGATCCCAAAATAAAGCAGACATCACATTTGTGCTCCATGCGTTACCCTCGCACCTCCTTCATAATGCAGTTTGCCTGAACCATACCTTTCTGACTCAGAGCTGCGTAAATGAAATCAGCTGTCTCTGAGAAGAACGGGCTCAAGTCAAAACCTTTGCAGTCTACTGCTTCTACTCCATGATACTGTATGTTGGCGTCTCTGTAGAAATGTGGACCGGTATCAATGTGCTGAGGGCCATCTGCAGCATTCACCACATGTGTTATTCCCAGATTCTGTAGCAGTGTCTTATCCCGAGCTGTCACCCTGTAAATAGCACCAGAGATGATGGAAGGACTGTGATTATTTCTCGCCTGCAGCCATCTCTGGCAGCATATGTTTGGAAAAAATGCATCATTGGTGACTCAAATGTACATATTTTTCTATATTTGTGCCATCAGTTGGTCAAACATGCAATTTGTTTGCAGAAACAGCTTCACAATCGGATCAGCACATTCCCCAAAGTGAGAATGTCACTTACGCATTCCCGATGAAGAGGTCGGGCCAGACCTCGTTGACAGCTCCAGTGGGACGCCTGTTCTTAAGCAGAAGGCCCAGCAGGCTGTAGGTGGGTGGTGTCTGATCCGCTGACTCCTCCTCTGAGCTCATACCAGCTATTTCTCACCTCACTGTTGGTATATGATTACCTCTGTTTGAATTCCTATTAATATTCGCCAAACACATAGATGAATTTCCAATTGTGGTCTAGAAACAAACACAAAAAATAGCTACAACTCCTGTCCTTGGAAAGCTTGCAATCGTGTACCCTGTTTTGAGTCTGAGACAGTAACGAGTGTATTTAACCTGCTGGAAACTGACAGCTGAACATACCAGAGGCTAAACTGAGGCAGTTGGGCTATTTATTACTCTCATAATCATCCCAGAAGCCATGCTGCATCTTCACCGTGGTAATGTTAACATTTAGTTTGGAGTAGCAATCCTAATTGTGGACATAAATTTCTAAACTATCTTTGAAAAAGGCATCTTAACCATTGCTAAACAATATCTGCATGCTTAAAACCCCTTTTTAGAATCATTGAGCCCAGGATCTCATACACTTAAGATAAATGCCAGATTTGTGGGGTAAATAATAGTTGACCTGTCAAAAAATCTTCCTCCTGCACAGTGGATCTATGTAGCTTGTCCAGAACAACAAAGGCTCTCCTGCCTAAATCTTTAGTAAAGCTTTTTATCTCAATCCTCAGAGTGGAGTCATACTCTTCCCATTAATGGATGATGGATTGTGCTTTGTGTTTAGATCATGCGATATATGTTTGATAAACTAACCATGCTTTTAAATTCTCCACTATTTTCTCCCCAAACTGTCAGCTGTGTTCCCTGGACTTAATAATGATGTTTGCTTCCTAATCTTCTCTTATAAAGGCCATTAAGGAATAAACACTGATCAGATTATAAACCGATGGATTGACTTTACTAAAACCAGAATAGGTTCGCACTTACTAGGGATTTTTTGTTTTGTTTTGTTTTTTTAGGTTTTTGTAGCACTAGTGACTCGTTATTGGAAAGTAGGGTGACAGGAAAGGGGGAGAGACAAAGACGACAATATTAATATTTGAGACAGCAAAGGACTAGAGCCTCTCTGCATGGATCATGCATGCTAACCACTGCTCTACCGAAGCACGCCCCACAATTACAAGAAATTTGACTCGATGTTGATGGTGCAGACAAGATGGGAAGTGACTGAAATAATTTGTCACAATCTTCCCTGCATGCCTCAGAGTCCTGGAGGCGTACAGATCCTGGAGAGATGGAAAATTGTGGCAAATCACTTTCTCTGCAGACCGGACGACATGCTGCAGTCTGTCCTTGTGGTAAAAAGATCACTTGTTAAGACATCTAGTGGGATTGGATTCTGTTTAAGGGTATCAGAGTAGATATAACTTAATACAAATGTGCTTTGTAGGGATGGAACGGTTTATGAAAACCGTCCGAACCGTTCCGTTCGACTATCTTGGTTCGATTTGCGTGTGTTACGTTCGGTTCATGCGCTGCTCCATTTTCTCATTTACACTACAGAGCAGAAGGTGGCGGTACTGCGACCAAAGCCAACCACCAGTAGTAAACAAGAAGAAGAAGAAGCGAAGCAGCGTAGCCGGGTGTAGCAGGGAAAAAAATCAGTTGTTGTGGAGAATTGTGTGGGTATGGCGAGTGGGAAAGAACAGGCGTTGGAAGACGCGCCAGCACCACTTTATAGGTCTGCTGTATGGGACCACTTTGCATTTAGAGTGACCTACGATGACGGCAAAAAGAAAGTTGTGGATAAAAGTGCAACAGTGTGCAAGCATTTTGCAACACGTTTTGTTTATGCTAACAGCAATATGACCAACATGTCATGCTAACCCCGAAATCCCACATACTCCATCAGCGCTGCGCTCCAGACCGCCTGCACAAAGCAAAGCCTACAGCCTCCACTGTGGCTCCCATCCGCTCCGCTCTGAGTTCCTTGTAGATCGTAGAGGGCATGCGCTAGATGATTAAATTCAAAGCAGCAAAACATGCGGAAATGATCCATGGTTTCTGCGGATCATTAAAAATAATTACAATTCATTAATTTTTAAAAATTGTTTTCATTAGTTTCATTAAAAAAAAAAATTTCATAAATTTTTATAATTTTTATAAATTTTTGTATTCTTCGGTGTAACAATAAACATATACCGAACCAAACCGAAAACTGTGACCACGAAACCGTAAACCGAACCGAACCGTGGATTTTGTGCTTTGAAATAATCAGTATTTAATTTTTTTTTTATATAATTATGCCCTGCTTTGGGCTAATGTGCAAAATAATTTCTGCAAATCCTTTCGAGGGTTTGAATGAGTAATGTTTTTTTTTTTGTATTAAGTCTACTATTATCCATGGTTTCTGAGTTTATTTATATTGTGATTATTGTGTTCAGCCATAGCTTTCAGTCCTTAGGTCTTCTGAGAGTGTCACTTTCCTGCTCCTCTCTCAGCTGCTTCCACTCATCCAGTTAATCTCATCTGATTCCAATCCCACTAATCACTTCTCTAAGTATATATACCCTCTTTGTTATAGTACCACTCCAGTTTATGTGCTTTTGGTTCTGTGCTGGGAGGCGTTGTGGCAGTTTTTTTTATATGTTTAATAGCTCCTCTTCCTTTGCATTATTCACTCAATTAAACTTTGTTGAAAATTTGAAACAACAAGAAAACAAAAACAGGTTTCTTTATCGCAAATCCAGGCAGAATGTTACCAACTAAATGAAGCATGCTTGGTCATATGAACCATTTAGCAAACAATATCAAAGAGACCCTAAATTAACTAGCTACTAAAGTTGCATTAGGTTTGAACCTAATGCAACTTTAGTAGCTAGTTAATTCAAGTGTGTGAAAGATTCACTCATTTATGTGTCCATTATTTAATTGTTTTTAAAGATTTTTTAGAAGTTAAATATAAAAAAACATATCTTCACAATTAAATTCTGAAAAAATTTCAGTAGAGTCTGCTTCTGTAGGTTAGTTGGACAGTCTCATAGGTCACAGGGTAGAATTTGGTTCTGATCCTTTGACCCTAACAGAAGAATAGCTATTGCTGTTCTCATGTTTCCAAACATGATAGGGAAAGTCCCTTCAGCCTTCAAAGCAACCCAGTTGGGCCTCAGGTTTTGACACCTTTGTCATTAGAGATTTAGCCCTTTTAAACTAAGATCTCAAAAAGTGGATAAGGAAATATGCTCCACAGTTAAAAGGAAACACATTTTTACTCCATGGTTTCATGTTTTAATTTACAAACAAAGCTGATGTGTATATCTAACTCCTTCAAAAAATCTAAAACATTTTAGCCCTCATATTTGATTAAAAGACAAGAAGATATCCTTTTTTAAGGATAAAAGTTTGATCGTTTTTGTGACCTTTGCTCCTTTTTTCTTATTTTCTTATTTTATAACCTGAACATTTCTCATTTTATCTCTGAACTTAACAACCACACTTTTTGTTTTTCTTTCTAAGATGTTCGTGCTGTGAAGTGTAGCTTTTACATTTTTCTTTTCTTTACCGCTTCCACATCCAATTGTGGGAAAATAAAGCATATTTATATTCTGTTCCAACTCCGGTGCTTGTTGCGTGGTGCTAAGGAACCGCAGCGGTAGAAGCAGCTATAGATTTGAGAAGCCTGTGACAGTGCTTGTCACTACCCGATCTGTCCCAAAAGCACGATCCATTCTGCGCATGCACCATCAGCTCATTTGCGCCTGTGCATCCAGATGTACATCTGGGTGGTCCTCGATTTTATTTTTGTTAAAAATACCTAGATGATGTTTTCCTTACTCAAAAATAGTAAACGTATTAAAATATAATGTGTTAAAGGTTAGTAATGTATATCCTGACAAAAAAGATGCCTTAAAAATCCTAAAATCCTGTTTTATCTCTCCTCTCTGCCAGATCTGCATCGGAATTGAGATCCTACGCTACTTCCGGTCACTAACTTTTTTGGCTTTGGATTTAAACATATATATATAGTGTTTTTGAGCTTTATGTTTTCTATTTTGTTTTAACCTTATGCTATATAGTGTGTAATCTAAAGAAAGAAACCGTTAAAATGCAGATAAACATGGTTTAATCATCATATAAATGTAAAATATAAACATTGTCTCACAAAAGTCATAAAATATTTTTTACAGATATATATTACTATCCTTTAGTGAGTTAAGGATAGAAATAAGTAGTTTTAGTACCATAATTACGTTATTTGTGGACACCTGGATGTATATCTATTTGCGCATGCGCAGAACGGATCGTGCTTCCAGGACGGATCGAGTAGTGACAGTGCTTAAGGCTCAAGAGAAGCTACAGCTAGCCTAGGCAAGCTATTGAGGCTAACTGCGGAGGATTGATGCAGAACGGCAGAAAATCGGATACGTTTACTGGCGGAGTGAGGGCTGAAGGTGGGGAAGAGGGACTGTGGCCTACCATGAGGAAGACAGGGTAACATCGGGGGAGCCCATCAGGGAGACAGAGTAGGAAGAGAACGTGGCAGGCCAAGGCTAGACTCTAGAGGCTAACTGCTGGAGTCGAAAGGACAACTGCTGAGGATCAGTGGACAGACTGAGCAGCAGAGCGGGATTGGAGAAGGCATCAGTTGGTCGATGTCTGTACACCGAAAAGAAAACAGTCCTTCTGGGGCTAAAGTAAAATAGCTTTTTTTAAAGTCGCTAACAAACATGTTAAGAGCATTCTCCAATTTATCCTTTGTTGGCATTATGTTCTCTGTCTTCCATCTTGATTAAAAACAAAAACGCTTTTATCTGCGTCCTCCTTTATTATAATAGTGGTCAATTCATGATACTTTTTTTTAAATCTCCTAATTTTTATACCTGTCAATGTACTTGGGATTGGGGTGGGGGATATATCGAATATATGCAATGTATCTTGAGTTTCCCCATCCCAATAGTTAAAAATAACTCTATCGCAACAATCGAGTACAAATTTGCATGATGACATTAAGCCTTCTGCATCTATATCACTGAGTTTTATTTTTCCACAGAATGCATCATAAATCCCTCCTCCTAACGGGGTTATTTTCTGCGTGCCACGCACACTACAGCAACCGGCAAATGAAATATGGCAACAGCAGAAGTGTCAAGTAACGAAGTACAAATACTTTGTTACTGTACTTAAGTACACTTTTTAGGTATCTATACTTTACTCCATTACTTATTTTTCTTCCTACTTCTGACTTCTACTCATTACATTTTCACACAAGTATCTGTACTTTCTATTCCTTCCATTTTTAAAACTAACGTTACTCGTTACTCTTGGCTTCGGTTTAATATTTATAAATATTTATTTCACGTCATGAGCGCCATCCAATGCAGATCATTGGCGCCATCCACATCTAATGAAAACTAGTGTAATTGGATGAGTCATATAACGCAAACACTCATTGGTTAGCTATTCGTCAAATTTATGCTGTCACCAAAGGAAATCATCAGAAGCAAGCAGGAGCTTGCAGGATTCAGAAAAAGATGTTGAAATGTGTGAAAGGTCGGACACAGGCCAGAGTGTATCGGGAGACGGAGACCAACAAGACCTCCCTCATCCTTGGCTCTATCTCAAAGAATTTTTCGAAATAGTCGAAAAATTGAGCTTTCAATTAAAATAGTGGCACTGGCTGTTGTTTTTTTTTTTTTTTTTTTTTAAGGCTGCTTTATACTTTTATAATTAGTTTTTGGAGCACATACTTTTTGACTTTTCCTTGAATAAAGGGTGTAATATACTTCTGCAACCGCATACATAAAATGACGCTTGCGTCTGGTTACGAGCCAGTTTTGCTGGTATGCTTCTGCAACGTAACCTGACTCCGCCAGATGGAATTGCTCTGCATATCCATCTGGAAACCTTCCGTTGAAATAATTTTGGGAAGGGGCGAAAATACTGGTTAGCTGATTGGCCTATGTTGCTGATAGACGGGCCAAATAAACCAATCAGATCAACAAAGCATATGACGTACTAACAGCCAGGCTACTCTTGCCGAAACCAGTCGGGAGAAGAGCAAAAACATATTTTTCTCTGAGAAAAGCCTCCAGAGCAGTGTTTTGCTCTTCTTTAGTGAAGAAATGCTCTGTAATTCCGATAAAACTTGCTTGATAGCCACGCTAACGCTAGTTTCATCGGCTGAAGCCGCTATGTTCTTTAGACTGAACTGTCGCACTTCTCGTTGTGTCACACCTCAACCTGCCTCAAAGCCAACGCTGATTGGATGTTCGTTTGGTGAATGGCTCCAAATTTTCTTCAACGGAGAGTCTCCAGACTGATTAGCGAGTGAAATCTTGAAAGCTCGCGAGATCAGGATGGTCTCACGAGGCTATCTGCAACGTCGGTCCCTGCCAAAGCGCTAGGGGGGGCCTATTCGAGAACTTTGCCGGATGGTCATGAGAACTTCTTCGGGGGTGCTAGCGGGATTGTTTATTTTTCAAAACAACATGTCTGAGGCATCGTAGAAGTAGTTGTACTTCCGAACCTCCTCGATCAACCTTTCATCGGGGTTATCTATTGTTGTTATTACTCCTCGGTTTTTAAAAATGCAGGCACTGAATCGAGAAGGACGACCACAGACAGGCAGAAAGCAATACCAAGGACCAACCACAGCTGCTTTTTGTCTGCGCACTTCCGCTTGAGGTCTGTGTGGGTTTGCGACCGTCCGACGTGTAGTCAGGATTGTTTTGAGGTGCATGACGACGGTTGCCGAGCTTCTGCGCGGGGCGTGTGGTCGTGCACAGAGAAAGATTTGATGGTTGCAGAGGCTATGCGTCAGAAGTATAAATTGGCCTTAAAGAGGTCAAGCTGATACTACAACTTTTTGTTTACTACAAGTGTTTTTAAACTGCAGTATCTATACTTCTACTTAAGTAACAAATGTGTGTACTTTTGACACCACTGTGCAACAGCTGGTGTTTCAGGAAAGCAATGAGTGAGTTTGATTTCAGAGGCTGGTCTACCTGGATGTGGTCCTTGGAGCAACATAAAAATTAGGAAAAAATATATGCCAAACACATAGTTGGCAAGACTAAAAGGTAAATGAATAGCAAAGGTCAGGTGTAATAACTGACAAACCGAGTCCGGTCTGAATGCAACTTAACCTGCCTCAGTCAAATTGTTTGTCTCTATAGTCAGCTCTGCATTGCCATGGTGCAAAGATGTCTGCCTCCACCAAAGGGAACCAGCTCCTGTGTAATTATATGTAAAAATTTCTAAGGAGAGGCAAACATAAAGATTGAGACTTTAGTTAATTGATAATAAAGAACATACATATGGATCATATTATATTTCTGCCTGTAAATCTCTTTTATTATTACACACTGTACCTTTAATCGTGAGGTGGAATGAAAGAAGCTAAATTTGATTACTTTGTAATTTGATTACTTATCTGCAGAGATGGGAAGTAACGAAGTACAAATACTTCGTTACTGTACTCAAGTAGATTTTTCTGATATTTTTACTTTACTTTACTACTTATTTTTATGGCGACTTTTTACTTCTACTCCTTACATTTTTACACAAATATCTGTACTTTCTACTCCTTACATTTAAAAAAATTGGCTCGTTACTTTAGTTTTGAACCATTTCAATGGAGTTACCGTTATAATTTTTCACGTCATCAATACCAAATTCAATCTAATTGGATGGGAATCTACGCTGCATTTGATGCACCACTACAAGATGAATCGACAGATTCGGCGGTATTCATTGGCGGCAAATCATTGCAGCTTGGTGGCGGTGGCGTTAGCATAGTAGCATGGACGACGAGATGATTGAAAATGAACACAACGGAGATCTAGTCCTATTGGCAGACATCCATTTAAAATGTAGGCAATGGCATGAAAAAAGTGGTTTCTACTTTTACTTTTATACTTTAAGTAAATTTACAAGCCTGTACTTTGTTACTTTTACTTGAGTAAAGAAGTTTAATCAGTACTTCCACTTTTACCAGAGTATTTTTTAACATAAGTATCTGTACTTTTACTCAAGTACGGAAAGTGAGTACTTTTGCCATCTCTGCTTATCTGTAATCAGTCACTTTCATTCTTTTGACTGTTTGCCCTGCAATTTGTGCCCTTTAGCAGTCTGTCAGCCATGTCTTCTTCCGTTTTTTGAGGACAACATACCTCCAGATGTGCTGCATAACCTTCTTATGCACCTTGATGTATATCATCCATAGACCTTTCATGTAAGCTGGCTGCTTCTGCTGCTCATAGCACGTCTGGTGTGAACGTCACATAAGAGGGAGAGCTGACAAAGCACTCATCACTGGGATTACTCTGTCTGCTATGTTAGTATCGCTGCATGCCAGTGTACCGGCGATTTAAGTTGTACTGTAATCCGATGTTTGTATCATCAAATTTATGTTTACCAGCTGTGACCCACTGCTCACATTCTCTTTTGTTGTGTAAGACTCCTTTGTTTCTTTAAAGTCTAGCAGACTCTGTGCGATTTTTTTCAATTGTTGCACGCAGCTACAGCTCACAATGTACGACGAAACTGCAGGGTTTTGCCGTACAGGGTGAGTTCACGGCTCACCATGCATGTGTTGCCCGATGCTCTGATGCGATCTACCTGCTCACACTGCACATCTAAAAACCACGTCGGACTCAGCTCCGCAGTGAGATGGCGCTAGTTGGGACTCGTCGAGTAGAAGAGAAATATGAATCTCACTAGAGTGAAATGCGCTCGTTGGCAATTTGTGCGATTTTATGTGCCCTAAAAAGCCCTATAAAAGGCCGACGACGTATTTAGATAAAGACATGACTGAGCAAACGTGGCTACTATGGTCTGTCAATTTTACAGAAAACTCCATTTCACTCGCACCCCCCGCCATGCTTCTGTGTTTTCATCTGAGATCAAGAAGAAGAAGAATCCTTGTTGGTGCACGTGCACTGAGCGACTGAATTTTAAACATGTTTGATTTTCTCCAAACCTCACGATTCCTGACGGGAGGGGGTTGTGAGAGACTGATCGGCCCTCGTTACCCCCTGTACGCTACTTGACTCACGATCAGGCTGAAAGTCGGCCCGATCGAAAAATTCTTGCACGACTGGAAAGTCGGTCCGAAAAGGACAAAAAAATCCTACAGTGTATGCCCGGCATAAGACAGGTTTGAAGGGTATGCAACGAAGTAGCCATGTGTCATCACTGCATTTATGTTTTATGCAATTTATTAAGTCCTGCCTCTAGAAATCTTTGGTCTTTAAGATAACATGTTTTGAAATGAACTTACCTACTACTGAAATTGTATACCTGTTGTGAATTATTGATGCTAGCACTGTCAATAATTTTAGGATTTATGGCAACAAAAAATGAGAGAAAAATGCCCTTTAATGACCACTTTTTAAAATTAGAACTGATAAAGAGTCTTCAAGTATAAAATAAACTGACTCAGGCTTTTAATATTTTTGCAAACATGCTTTGGTTGGCTACATGCTTAGGCTGCTATAGCTTTATCTTCTAGGTAATAACATGTTGCTATTTTTTTGTGATATTAGTTTGCACATTATTTACAGTAGATAGTATACTGTCCTAGCATAGAGGAAGCATTATTCATGGGCACTGTCAACCATCTAATGACTAATCTTTTAATTTGTAGTCATTTTAGTTTTGTTATATACTATTGAAAAAGTATTTTCTGGTCTACAAGCCACATTTTCAGTTATAGGGCTTGAGTTTCAGTAATTGTTTTTCAAACTTCATTTAAGCTTTTATTTGCGACAAATAAATACAAAGGTTATGTAAGAAAGAAAAAAACTGGAAAAACAATTAACAGAATATATTTATTATAATAACAGATTTAAACATAGATATTAGCAGGAGGCAATCATATAATTAAGCGTAATTACTTCAACTTGTTGATGCTGCAGCTGGTTAATGGCAGTGCAGCTTTTTGTCCAGACTTCGGAGCTGCTCCAGGAATCCCTCATTGGGTGAAACATTCCTGTTGGCGCTGACTGCTTTGATGGCGTCCACCAGAGTCATGTTCTTGTGTATCATCAGGTATGCCAGAACCAAGGAAGAGGAGCGGCTCAGCCCCATTGCGCAGTGGACAATAACCTTGCCTGCAGACCATTAAAAACAAAAACACGTCCAGTAGATCATGTTGTAATTCTGGCATCCCCTTCAACATTTATTTCCGTATTTACAACTTTGCAATCAAGGGATTATTGCTCCAGACATTACTCTAAATGTCCAATTTGTTATTCCTCTGTGGATTAAAAACCATGAGCATCACAGAAAAGAGAGCACTCCTAACGCCAGACTTAAAGTTTACAACAATGTTACTACGAATGTTTCTGCACACGTTAATCCCTGGTTTCTTATCGGGCCTGAGGATTAGGGAGCAGAGGAGCGAGTAATTGAACTGTCTTGGCTGCTGTGTATTTCTGCCGGGGATTACTGCAAGGCCCGCCACACTCTGGAGCCCCCGATCAGCCGGCATGTGAAGAAGGAGGCCTCATCTTATTACTGTCATGTCAGATACCGACTTCACTTTGCATAACAGGCCATGCAGACAGAAGCCACAAACATAATTGTGTAATTTCCATGTCCAATAAAAGTCTAGCTTACAAATTACCAGGGCAATCCATTTAAAACTAATTTCCCCGACAAAGGTCTGAGCCCATGAGAAGATTACCGTGGGGGAAGATATTAGCTTGATATTATGTTTAGTGTTTGATTTGCATTTTAATGAGTAATACAAGTGGGGGTTGCTGTGAAAGTAACTGCCTGACAAATGTTTCAACAATCTGCTTCGTCTTCCTTAATTTAATGTGTTGATGGTGATGAGAAACGCAAACAGCACCGTGAGAGCTTTCTCACCTGTTGGCAGACTTAGAGCATTCTTAATAAAATTGGCCGCTGGGTAAAAGAAGGGACTCAAGTCAAAGGACGACATGTCAAAAGCTTCCACTCCATAATAAGTGATGGTGGTGTCCCTGTAAAAACTGGGTCCTGTATTGACATTGAATTTTCCATCAGCAGCGTTTAGCACATGAGTGATGTGGTGAGCCTGGAGTGTCTTCTTGTCTTTAGCTGCATACCTTAAGCAAAGAAAAAAATATAAATATATATATATATATATATATATATATATATATATATATATATATATATATATATATATATATATATATATAAATCAGTAAATTGTTTTCTTATTTTTTTCATAAATATGATAAATATTCTCTCTGCAGTTTTCTTAAATGGAAAAAACAAGGTCCAGCTTCTTGTTATAAATAAATGTTTCAAATACATAAACCTCTAGAAAACCAAAAAATCTTAAAAGTTGGAATTTATAACGGCCCTCCATCTTTTTTCAGAGTAAAAAAATAATTTAAAACACACTTTTTAATACCACAAAGTCTTCAAAGTAACCTTTTCAATAATCAAAATGACAAACAGATGTGTGGTCTCTTGGTAATAAATGGTAAATAAAGTAAAAAAAAAAAAGAAGAAGAAAAAAAAAATCCCATTTGCCACAAAGATAATCTGTACAGCAAAACTGGCTCTGCTAAAATAGAAAGTGGTTGTGAGGATGGATTCCACTTCAACCATCAGAAAAATCTGTCTATTAGAAACATCTATCTCCATGAATGATAATATTGTAATATTGCTAACTGAATCTTTATGTAAAAGACAAATTTAAAGCTGAAGGAAAAGGACTCTAAATGGTTAAAGTCACATGTCAGCCAGAAAGCAGTGATCGACAGCCAGACCAACAAGGTAACTGCTGGGTTCCTTAGCTTAAAATGTGTCAGTGTTTTTTAACTTTGTTCTATGATCACAAAATATCTGTTGACACGTGTAAATTCTAATAAATCAACAGCCTCGCTGCAATTGATCCCCATACATGGTAGAGAATTTTCTATGTTGAACAGTCTTAACTACTTTGAGGGGTTTTATGTTGAGGTGTCTTTTTAGACTTTTTAGTTTAGGCATTGTAAAAAATGAACAGCTGTAGACTTATGAAGGATTAATGATGGGACGCTTTGTAATTTCAGCTCTTTTGAGTAAAACACAATTATTTGTAAAATGTGGTTCTTTGGGATGTGACTGAATTCCTTACTGACATTAGGGGAAAACTGTGTGTACGAATCCAATGCACATCAGAGTAATAATCCAAATATCACAAGGTCTATTTAAAAGCTGCCAGATATGAAGTTATGGAAAACAGTTTTTATCACAAGCACTCATCCTAGTAAAACACAGCCAGATAGTTTTGGCATAAAAGGCTTCTCTTTTGACTGGTTGACAACACTTTATCACAAAAAAAACATTAAAAAGGCTTTTACAGCTTATAACTTATTGGTGTGGCAGCATTTTGGCTACATTTAGTGAGAGACCAAGCGTGTAGTCCTTGGCACAGCTCACTGGGCTTTGACTTCCAATTTCAGGATTTTTGCTGCATTTTGACCACTTCTGTCTTTTCTGCCAGAACACTACAAGTAAAGGCTGTGTTTGCAACTAAATCTTATGCAAAAAATGCAATTGTATGACAAAAAATAAATAGAAGGGAAACTATCATTAATTTATTAACTGTTTTTTATGTGTTTCAGTTTTCAGTGTGACGGGCATTCTATCCTGAACCATGAACCAAATATCAAAATCTTTACTTTTGAGCTAGATGCTTGGTTACACCACTGGTGAGTATTTTAAAATACTAACAGGGGATCAGTTCTCACATGTCTCCAATATAGATCCCGGGGTAAATTTCGTCCATATGGTTGTTGCTCCCTTTCTTTGTCCACATCAGTCTGTGCAGTTCAGAAGCTGTTGGGGTCTCATACCGGCTCACTTGGATATCAGAGCTTGCCATGTTGTTGACGCCTTTGGGCATATATTGATGTTATCCTTGCTCTGCCTTTACTCTAAAGCCAAGAATAAATCAGTAATAATCTTTGTACAACAATGACGGCTGATCCATGCAAGGATAAGACCTGATAGGAATAAAGGACCAAATAACCATGATGTCTGGAGGCTCTTAAAGGGAGCTTACCCATGAATTTATTAACATTTTTCTTTTGACTCTAGATCTACAAAGGGTAACCTGCTAAAATATGTTTAACAACTACAACGTAAGGGAAAAAAAATAGGTGCCTACAACCTCCGATAATCATTTAAGTTTACTGATTTTATCCTACTGAAACCATAAACTTTAGTTCTTTTTTTTAAAGATTCTATGTGACAGTTGAAAACAAATTAGTACACAAATCTGAAGCGGAAAGAAAATAAATATATATATTTTTAACTATAGAGTTTAGTGGGCATTGCTGTTAGGCTCCCTTTACTGTGAAAACCCTTTATAAAATCCAGAGGTCCCTTATTTAATAGAAATAGTCTAGTTTTATTTAATAAAATATCTGTTTTAATTTAATCTCTGCATATTTCCAAATGTTTTATGAAGCTTCCTGAGGTTTGTTGGATATTTTTGGATAGCAAAAAGAAGCATAGAGACCAGCTTACACATCAGAAAACATCTGAGGTAACATTTTTAAGACATAAAAACTTATTAACACAGGAAAAAAATGACACTGCATCACTGTATACCCACCATCTTCATGGTGATATGTGATGGTAGGATGCTTTTTCTTAGTACTTTTTCAAGCACAAAAAAAGAGAAGAATTTGGGTCTCAAATGGATACTTTATATGGCCTGTGTAAATTTTAGATACAGCTTGGAAAAACCTTATTCAGTAGATCATTGATTCATTGAAAGCAAGTCCATACTAAAACATTGCAACTGAAGAAAATGGTAAAACTATCATTAAAAAAGTGTTCTTTATATTCCTGTCCCAGCGAGCTGTGTAGCAATTCTGGCTCTCTATTAAAACTGTTAAACTGCACAAAAATTTTTTATTATTAACTTTGAAAAACTGTTCTTGTTAATCAGGATCTTAAACACAAACTGCATTTACTTAAAATAAAATATCAGTTACTGCAGTTACTGCAAGGAGTAAATCATAAATATCTATTAGCTGTTTTTTTTTCATACAGTTTCGATTGCCTCTCGTCTCGTCGTCTCGTCTCGTCGTCTCCCGCTTTATCCGGAACCGGGTCGCGGGGGCAGCAGACTAAGCAGAGACTCCCAGACTTCCCTCTCCGCAGACACCTCCTCCAGCTCTGTTGGGGGAAGCCCTAGGCGCTCCCAGGCCAGCCGAGAGACATAGTCTCTCCAGCGTGTCCTGGGTCGTCCCCTGGGCCTCCTCCCGGTGGGACATGCCTGGAACACCTCCCGAGGGAGGCGTCCAGGGGGCATCCGAAGAAGATGTCCGAGCCACCTCAACTGACTCCTCTCGATGTGGAGGAGAACCGGCTCTACACTGAGCCTCTCCCGAATGACCGAGCTCCTCACCCTATCTCTAAGGGAGAGCCCAGCCACCCTGCGGAGAAAGCTCATTTCAGCCGCTTGTATCCGGGATCTCGTTCTTTCGGTCATGATCCAAATTTCATGACCATAGGTGAGGGTAGGAACGTAGACCGACCGGTAAATTGAGAGCTTTGCCTTTTCGCTCAGCTCTCTCTTCACCAGGACAGACCGGTGCAGCGTCCGCATTATTGCAGCAGCCGCACCGATCCGTCCATCGATCTCCCGCTCCATTCTTCCCTCACTCGTGAACAGGACCCCAAGATACTTGAACTCCTCCACTTGAGGCAAGGACTCCCCTCCAACCCGAAGGGGACATGCCACCTTTTTCCGGTCGAGAACCATGGCCTCGGATTTGGAGGAGCTGATTCTCATCCCGGCCGCTTCACACTCGGCTGCGAACCGCCCCAGCGCACGCTGTAGGTCTTGGCAGGAGGGAGCCAGCAGAACTACGTCATCCGCAAAAAGCAGAGACGAGATCCGCTGTTCCCCAAACCAGACCCCCTCCGGTCCTTGGCTGCACCTAGAAATCCTGTCCATAAAAGTTATGAACAGGACCGGTGACAGAGGGCAGCCCTGTCGGAGTCCAACATGCACCGGGAACAGGTCCGACTTAATGCCGGCAATGCGAACCAGACTCCTGCTCCGCTTGTACAGAGAACGGATGGCCCCTAATAAAGGGCCCCCGACTCCATACTCCTGGAGCACCCCCCACAGGGCAGCACGAGGGACACGGTCGAATGCCTTCTCCAAGTCCACAAAACACATGTGGACTGGTTGGGCAAACTCCCATGAACCCTCAAGCACCCTGCAGAGGGTGTAGAGCTGGTCCACCGTTCCACGGCCAGGACGAAAACCACACTGCTCCTCCTGCAGCCGAGGTTCGACAATCAGCCGGACTCTCCTCTCCAGCACCCTGGCATAGGCCTTTCCGGGAAGGCTGAGAAGTGTGATTCCCCGATAGTTGGAACACACCCTCCGGTCCCCCTTCTTGTGGAGGGGAACCACCACCCCAGTCTGCCAATCCAGGGGAACTGTCCCCGACCTCCACGCGATGTTGAAGAGACGTGTCAACCATGACAGCCCGACAACATCCAGAGCTCTGAGATACTCAGGACGGATCTCGTCCACCCCCGAAGCCTTGCCACCGTGGAGTGTTTTGACTACCTCGGTGACTTCAGCCTGGGTGATGGACGAACCCAGCCCCAAGCACCTCGTCTCTTCTTCCCCCACGGAAGGCATGTCTGTCGGGTTGAGGAGATCCTCAAAGTATTCCTTCCACCGCCCGACAATATCCTCCTTCAAGGTCAGCAGCTCCCCACACCCACTAAAAACAGTGTTAGTGAAGCACTGCTTTCCCCTCCGGAGGCGCCGGACGGTTTGCCAGAATCGCTTTGAGGCCAACCGATAGTCTTTTTCCATGGCCTCTCCGAACTCCTCCCAGGCCCGAGATTTTGCCTCTGCAACCGCGCGGGCCGCGACACGCTTGGCCTCACGGTACCTGCTTGCTGCTTCAGGAGTCCCACAAGCCAGCCAGGCTTGATAGGACTCCTTCTTCAGCTTGACGGCATCCCTTACTATCGGTGTCCACCACCGGGTTCGGGGATTGCCACCACGACAGGCACCGCAAACCTTACGGCCACAGCTACGGGCAGCCGCATCGACAATAGAGGCAGAGAACACAGCCCATTCGGACTCCATGTCTCCAACCTCCCTCGGAACCTGAGAGAAGCTCTCCCGGAGGTGGGAGTTGAACACGTCTCTGACCGAGGGCTCCACCAGACGTTCCCAGCAGACCCTCACTACACGTTTGGGCCTGCCGAGTCTTTCAGGCTTCCTCCTCTTCCAGCGTATCCAACTCACCACCAGGTGGTGGTCGGTGGACAGCTCCGCCCCTCTCTTCACCCGAGTGTCCAAGACATGCGGCCGAAGATCAGAAGATACGACTACAAAGTCGATCATTGACCTTCGGCCTAGGGTGTCCTGGTGCCAAGTGCACCGATGGACATCCTTATGCCTGAACATGGTGTTCATTATGGACAATCCGTGACTTGCACAGAAGTCCAATAATGAGACACCACTCGGGTTCAGAGCTGGGGGCCCGTTCCTCCCGATCACGCCCCTCCAGGTGTCACTGTCGTTTCCCACGTGGGCGTTGAAGTCTCCCAGCAGAATGATGGAATCCCCGGGAGGGGCGCTTTCTAACACCCTCCCCAGGGATGCTAAGAAGGCCTGGTACTCCGTACTGCCGTTCGGCCCATAGGCCGAAACAACTGTCAGAGTCCTCCCTTCAACCCGAAGGCGAAGGGAGGCGACCCTCTCGTCTACCGGGGTAAACTCCAACACGAGACGGCTGAGCTGAGTTTCGATTGCTTCTTTGATAAAACACCCATGTTTACACAGCTTTCCACACTGTAGGCTTTAACGTTAAATGCTAAATAACTTTAACGAAAACACATCAAACACATAAAATGAGTGCATAATTTTTCTTTGTGGGATTATAGGAAGGACTGTTAAGTAGATCATACATTCAAAGTATTTATATTTAGCTTTTAAACATAGCCCATAATGGCACAGGAGCACAAGATCACATAATTATAAGGTAAACTTATGCTGCTCTTTTTATTTTATTTATGATTCAGCTGTGCATGGTGAATTTATTTATCTCCAGAGAAACGGGATGTTTGTATTCAAGGCCTGTGAACTGTCTTTCATGTCCTGTGGGTGGATCTAACTTGTGCTTTTACAATTTATTCCAAGTTTTAGAAGGACTTTTAATATACATGCTGTATGCATTAGCATTAGTTTATCCTTGTGTGGGCTTAGGACTGAGGCTGCACAACTGACACCCATGTATTGCTGCTCTTTATTTGCTGTTATTCTAGTGAGTGGGGACATGCAGCGGTTCAGAGGGTTTGCAGAAAGCTTTTTCACAATGAGGAGTCATTGTGATCAAATCTATTTCAGTGACCTTTCCTTTAAGCTGCCGTGGCATATGGAAGTGCACATCATGGCGACTTGATCTGTGTCACTTAAAAAAGTTGCATGCAGGAAGAGGCTACAGATGACCAAGTGTGAGTATTGAAGGCAGCAAAGTGTATCTTTCTACAACATAAACCCAGAATTACCGACAGGCTTTTCTTTTTCCTCATTGATCTAGAAGTGTAGCCTTTTTCCTCCCTCCCACATTTAGGGCCGGAAAACTGATTTCCCTGGTGCATATGTTGAGCTTCAGCTCTGCTTTCACAACCTTTCTCCCTCGGGCTAACCTGTCCACCCTGCTCCACTTTTGTGTAATTAAAGATACTTTCTATGGGAAACTGCCTGCAGTTAACATGTAGGGCAAATAAAAGTGGCTTGCTTTTTACATCCTCTAGCCTTTTTCTTGGTGGTTTCAAGAATCACAATGCCTCCTGCAGCCTTTCAGATGTGGTTAGTTTGCATTCGTGAACAATTACTAAAAAGGTGGAAAGTTAAAAAAAATTTTGTATCGTCTATCAACATTTTATCGCTTTATGCACATAGTTAAAGTTGTGCATTTGGTCTATACAGATTTCTTTTGTTTCTCTGAGATACTGAAGAACAACTTTCAATGTCATGCAAAGATAATCTGGGTAAATGTAAAAACTATTTTTTTATGAAAATTACAGTTAATAAGGTAACCAGGATATCCAAACCAATGTGGCCCATAAATAATTATTATGATGGCCTTTTAAATCACAAACTAGGTTTGGTTGAGCCCATTTTTGGCTTAATTCTATAATTAGTCTAGATTACTGTCTAAACAGTAGGATTAAGAAATTATTTAAAAAAGTCTGACATTTCCAAATGTTTCTTCTGGCATAAAACACAGCATATACATATCAACAATCAAACATGGTGATGGCAGTATTATGGTATGGTGTTTCTGCTTTAGGGCCTGAAAGACTTGCCATAATTGATTGAATCATGAATTTTGCTCTAAATCAGAAGAACACATACTGTCCAGTGATTAGTTTGTGACCTTGAGCTAAATTATCCAAAAAAGTCCATTCAGATTGGCTTAAAACAGATGAATAATAATAAATAAATAAATGTGACATAGTAGATCAATCCAACATGAGCCGTTTTGTTGATAAACTATTTAAACTTAGTCTATGGGAAGGTATCTTAAGCCACTGAATATTTATAGATTATTGTAATCAAAAGACAAGAAAATAATTTTTATAATATCAAAATACAACTTTGGTTGAAAGTTTCATAAATGTATAATGTTTGAGGGGTAAGCTGTTTTTTTGTTTTAGAAATATGCCTTATTCTGGTTAATCATTGCACATTTTTTGCAAATTATAAACATTAGCTGGACAACAAAGTCTATTGGAGTTGAAACATACTACACTGTACTTAGTTATTTCTTAACACATATTTCCAGTAAAATGAAAGAAACAGATTGGTAGCAGACACTTGCCTTGGCTGAAATCGTTGCTTTTCATGGTCTCGCTATACAAGAGCTACATCTAGGTCGAAAGCACAACTATCTCTGCTCTCCTTGGTAATCTACCCTGCAACCTTTTTCGCTAATTTTAACATCTGAATCACAGCCCAAAATAATTCTGGCGTCATCCTGTACATTCCTTAAAGGTTATCTGAGCTGCCAGTGCAGAAGCAAAGATAGGACACGTCTTTTTTTAATAGTGAGGAAAATTAGATCTGTCCTGCTTTGTTTGAACTTTTCTGATCTGCTTCTCATCCATGTGCTTTAATCAAGAACTGGCAATTTGATCAGGACTAGTCTCTCTATCTCTCTCTTTTTTTTTTTTTTTTTTTTTTTTTTTTTTTTTTTTAGCTTTGCGTACTTTAATAATTGTCATTACATAAAAAAAATAAAACTGTAATGCACTAAACTCCAGAACACTGATGCACTTCTGCCCTTAAGCAAAAAACAATAATGCAACCAATGCATACATTTATTTTATTCATCAATTATTCATATTTATGAATTATGACATAAACATTTATATACTGAAAGAGACAGTTTGAAAAAAAAGATAAACCTTTCAACATTTATTGTTCTGTGATATCTGCGTATCTAAAATCTAAATTGCATTTGTATTTTATTGTAACGGGCACGTTCTGACTGTAGAGTGAAAATGCTTTCTAGGAATAAATGTGTAATACAGAACATTTTGAAATGGTTAGACTGTAGATCTTTGCAGCAGACAAGATACATGTTCATATCCTTTGTGTATCTGAAATGCTTATAGAAGATTCCTTAGACTGTCAAAAGATCTGATGCCTTTTGATGCACAGCAGTGATCGGTTCAACTGCTGTGATGAATAACACATAGAAATTTCACAGTATGATCTGTCAGACAGATGATGCTGATTTATTATTTCTTTTAAGAGACAAAGGAGATTAGATAAAAAAGAAAATGATAAATATAATAAATAAACAATGTTTTTTTAAAAACATGGTTGTGATTAATTTGGTCCATAATTTACTTAAAAGAATGATAGAGCCATTTGTGTTTGTATGTTTTTGCTCTCAATCTACTGTGTTTTTAATGACAATTTTTAGATTGATATTATGGTTTTACATAGTACATTTCTATACACACGCCCAAATGACCATTTATACTTTATAAGTATCAAACCATAGACATTGTCCAACTAATCCTAAACTTGTATAAAAAAAGAAAACCATGTAAAACATGATAAATATTATAGAACTTTGTTGCTGTAAATCTATTGTTGTTTTCAAGCTCAGTCATATGTTATGCTGAAATATTTCAATGCAAATATTTATTTCACAAGAGTTCTGGGTTTTCTGCCATGGTGAAAACTACTTAAAATAGCTCAAGGTCTATTGGTAGTGAAGGCTGCAGTATTGTGGTATGTTCTCTTTTGCTTCAGACAGGATTACAACAGCAACACCCCCTCTAGTCGGAAGTCCAACTACTAAATAGGAGATTGTCAAGCTTAGTTTCCTTATCAAAGTTCAAGTGCACATATTCCCATTGAGATAAGATGAATACTTCTCAAATCAAAGCAAATATATCAGGAAGGTTTTAATGTTTGGATCCTTCTGCCAGCCGTTGATGAACTGTTTCATTTATTACTGTCTGCAGGAACTGTCTTCTGCACCTTTCCTGCATTTATTGACGGCAAAAAAAAAAAAAAAATCATAATAGATCCGGGATGTTTCAAAATTGTGGAAAACATCTAACGTAAAACATGCAAGATTTTTTTTTTTAGCTTATTAGCCTTTGATTATATGCATCCCCATACAGTACTGGAACTACTTTTTCTCCAGTATCTTACTGGCCACTTCTCATAGCAGGAGGCTTGGAGATGGTAGGGTCACTGTAACATCTTTGCTACTGTCATACTGCAGGCCTGGTGCCTCTCTCTCTTCTCTGCAAGGCGTGATGGGCAGGTGTGGTTCATCTGTTAATTTGGAGCCTACTTGAGGAGCTTGGACGAGGAGGAGGGCGTCAGTTCTTTCTCGCTACCAGCGTGGTGACCTACCAGCTTGCTTCCTCTAAAAGCCAGCTCTAATTCCTTGTCTCTGTCTTTTCCCTCCTAGTTACCAACCAAGCTAACTGAACCCAAAAGCTTGGACCTTCCTCATCCGTTGGATCTCTCAGGTCACAGTCTGCTGCAGCCGTCCTTCAGGAGCCCGCCTGCCTGTCCACCCTCCTACACACCATCACAAGAGAGAAAGTCTCAATTTGCACCTGGACCCAGGACACCATCCTTCCAAGCCAAAAACAACCTCAAACCCAGTGAGTTCAGCGTTCTCCACCTTCCCACCTCCTCTGACCAGTTATTCACCATCACCCTATCTTTTCCCCAAGCAGAACCCAGGAAGATCCTGCAACTTCTTCAGAAGAACTAAGTGAATGTCCAGTTTTCTCTGAATTAAGCCTGTTTTGTGATGGCGATGACCCGAATGACTGCAAAGTTGCACAGGCATTAGAGGCTATGATCTCTTATAGTTCCATTTAGCTGTCTAGCCAAAACAGGGGATAGAACCTTGATATCTGATATCTGTCCCACTTTAGTCCAACAAAATAAGCTGAAAACCCAGTTTTGAACTTATTTTCAACGATCTGAAAATTACAGCTTTTCACCATTCCCTTTTCAATCAGACATAGACGTCATTTAGATATAAATCATGATGTCTTTTCAACCAATTTTTGCGCGGCAGGAGGAGTCTGCTATATAATTAAAGATAAAGAACAACTAGTCAGCCCATTTTATAAATATTTTATGTAGAGCAATACATTAATTTAAACACCACGGATGTATAAATGTGTGTGTAGCTTTCAAGTTTCAAGTTGGTTTATTGTCATCAGAATAGATTGACCCTAAACTGCTTTTAGTGCCAATCAGCCATTGGTGCTTTGCACATTGGTTCTTGCATGGACACCCCATGAAAATTTGAAGGTTTTTTACTTAAAGTTTAAAGTTGTTTGTTTTTACCTTTTAGTAAGAGTGTAATAAAACCACGACCTCAACAAAAGCACATTATGTGTAAAGTATAGGGTACAGAGGAACAACAAATGCCCCTCAACAAAACTTTTAGTCCTGTAATCATTGCTAAGATATGAGTAAAGCTGAAAAAAATATAATCTGTCAGAGAAAATAAAAAGTGCAAATGACTTTCTGTACTGACAAGTAAGCACATCAAGACATAAGAATAAAATGGTAAAAACAAACAAAAAATTATAATAGGTGAGGTTCTTTTGCAGCTTTGTTTGTTTGGTCAAACAAATCTGTGCTTTCTTCCGCAAGACTTTTCGTACCAACCATGAGTCATTTTGTGTCTACTATGCTGATATCACCTCGAATGACAACACAAATTAAAAATAATAATTTATATTTCACTCAAAGTCTATTCTGAAGAAAGTTTGCTCTATTTCTACAATGAAATATATCAAAACACTATATTTACTCTGGGTTGGGATTAGGATTTAATAAATCTAATAAAAGTGAGTAGAAAGCAATACAACTTTTTCAGAAAATATCGTACAACTGAATTACAATATTTGAGTTTCACTTTAAGAATTGATCTCCATAGTTCATAAAATTCCCCCGCTACAATGAGTAATAAATTTATATGCAATGGTTCATGGGCATTTAATGAAATTCCCCCAGGAAAAAAATGAAAGTAGAAACGGGTAAAATTGCAGCACATAGGATAAAAAATGAAGGTAAGAACTGGTGAAGGAGTAAAATTCTCTTGAGCCACTGAAGAACTGTTGCAGTCTTTGAAAAGAAAGAACGTTGGACTTTGGGAAAATTCTGAATAATTTTGTCAAGTTTTTTTTTTTTTTGAGAGAGAATTAAGTTTTGGTGTTCTTTTTCTTTCTTTATTTTTTTTTTTAAGCGGGAGGCATCTGAAAGGTGGAGTTATTGTAGACGTAGATAAGTACCCTGATTACCATTTTAGGTTTAAGATTCCAGTATAATATCAGTATCAATCTAAATATCCCAGCCAGCTAAGCCAAAACATCTTTCTACAGAAATGCCACTGTCCAGACAGCTGGATCAACAGACTGCCTTACGTCTTGCTGTGAACCTGCAAAGCGGAATAGTTCTACAGGATCTGACAGGTTTTCTTTTTCCTCGTCAGCTGAAGATCCAGATCCAGCAGCAAAGCCAGGAAATTCCTGTTTGGGTAGATTGCTCTCTTCTTGATAACTTTCTGTAGGGCTTGTTTGAGGGGGAGCTGATGGTAGATCATGAGGTAGGCCAGTACCAAAGTCGACGAACGGCTCATTCCCATAATGCAATGCACCAAAACCTTTCCTGAAGGAAACAACAAAGGCAGAGAGAGGTGTAAGGGAAGGATTAGAGAGGCCTCAGACCTATTAATATCATACATGACTGCCCGTCTCACACTGTGGCTTTTCTTTTCTTTTCTGTTTTTTTTTTTTTTTTTTACTGGTTGAGAGCTAAAAATAGAACCGACAAGTCATCATCTTTGTTAATTTGAACCTCTTTTCATATAGGCCAGCTCTTTTAATCCCACCTCATCCTCTCCTTGATCGTTTCTTTGACAGAAGCTATTACATTTCTATATTCAGCAAGGTAAGTGTCTTATTATTACGGGATGAACATGAATTTGAATTCTTGTACAAGTAGTGCTACATTGTGGTAACTGGTGACATTGAAAGAGCTGCAAGATATAAGATTTTGGATGGTTAACTCTATTAAATATTTGACAGAGTGAAATAAAGGATTCAATGTGTAATATGCATTCAAATGGAGAAGCTTCTGTTGGTTTTGTCCTTTATGATTAAAATCTTAGAAGGTTTCTTACCACCAGGTGACTTCAGAGCTTTATGAATGAAATCTGCTCCAGGCTGGAAGTAAACGTCCAGATCAAAGTAGGTCGAGTCATCTGCTGGAATGCCAAAATACACAAAGTCCTTGCCATAAAAGCTCTGGTTCCCTAGGCTGCCTTGCTTGGAGTGAGCTGCGTTTAACACATGAGTTATGCCTAAATTCAGCAGGACAGCCTTGTTTTGGGCTACTGCCCTAGCAAGACACAGAGACAGAGAGAAGTTGAAGACGTGGGTGAAAACTATGCAAAGCAGCACAATGGATTTATCACAGCATTAGTCGATATGTGAAAAAAGAAAATATTCAATTAAAACACAGGCGAGCATATTTAAATTATTTGTCTGCATTATTTTTTTATGATTATGTTTGCAGATAATGAAAACAAACTCTGCAAAATAAGAATATTTAATGAGACCAATGAAAATAATATTATTCATACTGAAATATAATGTAGTGATCATGAAATGACCTACATCATCATGGGGATCACTATCCAGTAGATGATAACTGATACATTTAAACAGGAAGATAAGCAACAGGAATTTATAAAGAAGCTGGTTGTTTAGAAAGTCATGAATAGAAGCATCTCAATGGAAAGTTGAGTGGAAGGTCAAACTGCTACAGGAAAAAATGCTCCATTAGTTAAAGATTTCAGGAGCCGTTTCAAACATTCTATTGGTTCACTTTGTTAGACAATTATGGATTACTGTATATTTATATAAAAAGCCACACTCGCTTTTTTTTTTTTTTTTTTAAAAAGCCTTTTTAATACAGAAACGTTGGCGCGCTGAAAGGTATATCTGTGCAGTATACAGTATATGTAGTCCCGCTCACCCCTGGTCTGGGTTCCTTTTGAAAATTTACTGCAACAATATGGTCCGGGATGGAAGCATTGAACCTGGCATGTTTCTTTAATTCAGTTTCTATTTCGATTCAGTTTATCTGAATTGTGCCATGTTATAGAAAATGTAATCTAACGGCAATTTACAAGACTAAATCTATTTTTACACAGAAATAAAAACAGCGCAGTCATATAGGCAGATTTAAATTCATTATATACAAAGCATTCAGAAGCGGTTTATAATGACTGATAAAACATTGTTTTATGTAAATAAGCCCAACAGAACAGATTGTGTCATAAAACCAGCAAGTGATTAAAAAAAAAAACGGTATGACTCCTTTCGAATAGGAAGGCACTAACTGTAAGATCTTTCCTATGGACCTTAAAGTGATTTCTGTCTCTTTACCTGACTCTTAGACTTCCAGACTGTTAGAGCTTTAATTCCAAATAAAAGCAAAGTTTTACTTCTACCAAACCTTAAACGTGTACCCCTGTATGATCCTTTCAAAGCTGCAGTTATTGTGGTTGCTTATTCGTCTGTTCTACCAGTTTTTCCTTCCATTTGAAATATTCAGTGGCTTAAGATTCTTGTGGATGATGTCAGTGGCTGTCTGCTGGATCACTATCAAGTCAGTGGTTTTCATCATGATTGTGTGAGCCATAATACAACCCCTGGCAAAAAAATGATAGAATCGCTGGCCTCGGAGGATGCTCATTTAGTTGTTTAATTTTGTAGAAAAAAAGCAGATCATAGACAACTGTCTGGCTTTAAGTAATATAAAATAAAAATGTGGTATTCATTAACGGTCACTTTTTCAGATCATGCAGAGAGAAAAAAATATGGAATCATGAAAAAAGTTGCAATTTGAAATAACTTTAGCTTGTGTCATGTCTGTGATCTGATCTTTTTATACAAAATGAATGAACATCCTCTGACGCCAGTGATTCCATCATTTTTCTGACAGGGGTTGAATTCCAGTGTTAAACACAGTTTATCTTTCATTGGCATCACATAATACTTTTTTAAATCTGATTTTTTTTTTTCTGTTAGCAATAACATATAAATAAATGCATAAATAAATGCTTGTAATAATTCTGCATAAGATATGATTTACATTTTTTAACAAAATGAGTAAAAAGAATTGGACATTTAAATCAAATTCTATTTTTTGCACCTGTATTGTTGCAGTGCAATTTCAAAAAACTCTAATCAAATTCATACTTACAAATTTCCTATGTATATGTTCGGCCATACTTCATTGATTTGGCCGAGGTGTAGCTTACAAGAGTCCAAAACATTCTGCAGGTCCTTCACGGTTGGATATTCCTTTGCCTTGTCTTTCACCTTTGGCATTTTAAGTTCAAAGTCCAGTCCTGGCTGGATTGCTGGCCAAAATGTTTGCTTTTCAAGGCAGTCCCAGTCTTTCTCCAGCTCTGGATGATCCGTTCCAGCAGGTGCTGTCGCTGGACAGTTACCCAATTTGGGGTTTAACCTAGCGTGTAGTCTTACCCATGCAGAGGGCAGAAAAACACGCGCTACAGCAGGGGCTCTGCTTTTCACACACCACCATGGGACTCTAATTTAATCAGTCTCGCTCAATGATGAATCATTCTATAAAGCGGTGATAATTGGGCATAATTATGGTCAAACTGCCAGAGAGAACTGCTTATATTGGATATTATTCAGCATTTATAGAATTGAATCACTCCACAGCATCCTTGTGTGGCTTGTTAACAGCTCTGGTGTAAAACTCTCACTAAATAGCGTAAAAGGGGAAAAAGAAACATAAGTTTTGCTATTGACAGCTGTTCACGTGCACTAATTTCAACACTTCAGGTTGTTTTTTACTCATTGTAGGGAAATAAAACTTGATCACTTCACTTTCATTTCATAATGATTTTCACTCCTTAGGACTTTTAAAGGACCATTAATACTTTAGACTTATGCCTTATGTTTGTAAAATGGGGAAAACAAAACCCAACATCAAATGTAAACAGCATACATTGAATCTATATTTTAGTACAGTTCCTAACTTTTCATAAATGTGTTTCCTGGAAAAAAGGTAGCGTCTGGGTAGCTGATTTACAAGAAAATGGTTTCTAAGAAATAGAAGATTAGCAATGAGTTTCTTGGAAATGATCATGCTTGAGTTCACCTTTGCTATGTTCTTTTCTTTTTTATGATAGATTGTAATAGGTCTGGGTAGACTACCAAAGATTAAAAGAGAGATATAGATTTTTATTCAAAATTACCATCCAATGTATTTGAGCTTTGATTTTTCATGGGTCCAGAATTTGCTTTATTCTGAAAATGTATTTCTCCAGATAGATAGATAGATAGATAGATAGATAGATAGATAGATAGATAGATAGATAGATAGATAGATAGATATCTGTTTGCAGGAGTATTTACACAGGTTTGTGTTTTAAAACATTAATTCACAGTACAGCAAACCCACCCTGAAAAAAACAAATGCATTTCCACAGACTAGCTGCAGTGTTTCACTAAAACTTGGCTTGATGACCACATTTTAGACAACAGCGCAGGGCTGTCAGGGTAAAATAGAGGAAGTGAAATCTGCTTTTACATTTCCAAAGATTGGTATTCTTATGTCAAAATGTAACAGAACACTGTGAAAAATAATTATACTGTGGTAGTCCTCATGTGGAGTTATCTTTTATACACTGTAAACCTTTTATTCATAGTTCTTGTTTGTTCTGACCAGTGATTACATTCCCCTACAGACCTGCACATCATAGGCTAATGTACAGATTAGGGGTGTAAATCACACCCATCATGGCGATTCGATTCAGTATCGATTTCTTGACCCAACGATTCGATTATTTTCGATACTCAAAAATACATCGTCTTTTTTTTCCTCCGCCACGTCTGTCTTGCCTTCCTCTTCTTTCACCTCCCCTATCTCTGCCATGTCTGTCTTGCCTACTGTTTACGCGACTGTGGGTGTGCATGCGGAAAGAGGGTAGTGGCTAAAGGAAGCAAGGTAGAAGGGCAAAATAGGTTTAGCGCCACCGCAGCACGGGAGTCAGAATTACGTCCAGGAGCAAGTGGATAATAATTGACCGGAGGAAAAAATAACATGAATTGATACTCTTGCAGACGTTTCGATGCATCGGATCGTCGTCTGTTGGATCGATGCATCGATACAAAATGATTACTATTTACACCTCTAGTACAGATCACTAAAGTGATAACAGACATAAAAAAAATAATAAGAAGACTTAATTGTCCAAGGTATTTTATCACCAAATCTCCAATTGACTTACACAATTAAGACAGAATATTAGGTTTCCAACTAGGGATACAATCACACTGGACCATTATTTAAAAGATTAATGTCCCACAGTTGCTCATGCAGCGGTAGGATTTTTTTGACCACCATCTAATTCGTATTATTTCAAAGAGCAAAAATTAAAAACTATGAAGCATCGGTTCGTATTGTATTGATGTTGACTGATGGTCATTTCTTCTTTGTAGCCTACAGTATATATCCAAGCTTTTGGGAAGAGGGAGAATGAAACCTCAGTAGCTATTTTATGGCTGGTTTGAACAAAGGGTTGTGATAAACCGACAATCTTGAAGCTGAACTCATCCTCTCACTGCCTGCTATTAAGTAGCTCTAACCAGTAAGGACACTAAGGCTAAAGCGGAAATGCGTCAGCGGTCACCAGGATAAATGATATTCGAAAGAGCTGACAGTGAGGAAGGAGGTGGGAACAGGATGCAGGATACTGCCTGTTGATAGTCAATTTGTCATAGAGATAGTTTAGCAAAAATACATTCTTTTTCTGACATTTTCTGTGACACACATACTAATCTATGCGTCTTCATGTGTTGCAGCATGTGTTGAAGCTGTTTGCTACATTTGTGTAACTTTTTTGTAGTTGCTTTCTGGAAAGTTGTAGTTTGGTTTTGAAAAGCATTATCCATCATCACAGGAGCTAGAATGTATTAAGGTATTTGAATCAAACAGCAGCCAACACATGAAAAATGCATTAGAAAGCAAATAGCAACTGTTAAGAAGCTGACACATGCAAAACCCTCTGAAGCTCTTTTAAAGAGGCGGTGACACAAGAAACTGCATTGCCTTTTTCCTGCATGTTGAACAAATACAAAACAAAAGTCCACAAAAGCCCAACAACAAACCTAGGATCATTTATTCTATAGATTCCTCAAGGATAGCAAATGTTTTTCTAAACTGTTGGGGTTTTACTGCTGCCATGTTGGAAATGACAGAGACAGGTGTCTGTTCTAAAATTAATTCTGTGGCCTTTTCTGTGAATGTGTACTCCAATCCTCTGTTATTAACGGTTTTCTTTATTCCATTTTATAAAGAACCAAATAAATGAGAAACAATATCAGTAATACATTATATTTCTAGATGTACTGGGATATTTTTAAAACATTTGTAAAACTTTTTAGGCAAAACGGAAATGGATAAACAAATAAATGTCATCAAATCTGTAGATATTTCGAAATATTTCAATGCCTTTTCTATTAAAACACAAGAGTCAAATGTCTAGAGCCACGAAGATGGAGCCAACATGGAAAAAACATGTCAAATAGTTTCTGCTCACATTATTTTTTCTTGAAAGAATTTCCCGATTTGGGAGAAATCTAACCAACAAGGTAAATGCATGATTCTAGACTATATTCACATCGAATTTAGTAGAAATACATTTCTTAAATCACAGATCACCGGTTTTGAAATTTGTTATAGAGGTATGGTTTGGTTTATTGCTTATCTGGAACACAAAAGTCTGTTGAAATTTAACTCTACCTCTTAGTAAAGGGAAAAATTTGCAGGAGGTCTAAAAATAACTAGCCCAAGGCCTATCCTAGAATGCAAAATGCTGGAACACACGGGTTTTGTCGACAGCGGAGCCAATTTTACATTGTTTACAAAAAATTTGTTGGCTACTTATTTCAAAATTGGCACCTTCAAGTATGCATCTAACTTTTCTTACATAGAAGCCAAACATGTTCTTGGTAAAGGTTTTAAACTAATGTATCTGTCCATTATGACAAGAAGAATGTTTAGATTTGATAAAGTTAGGCTTTTAAACCAGACACGACTGTCCTGTCCTAACTGTTAAGTATTATAGTGGCACTATCATGCTGTGGGTCACTTTCCCGTCAGAGCAATTGGTGCATGAATATTGCATTTGGAAACCTGAAAATGTGCAACTATCTCAAAATTCCTTAACTTAAATAGATAGATAGTTGAAACTTCAAACTGGGTGTTCCAAGATCACTATTAATCCAAACCAATAACAAAGCAAGTTTTGAATAAATAATACAGTATAATATTTTGCCATTGCACATCAACTCTACTGAAAATATATGGTTCTGAGCAAGAAGAATAAAAGTTAATAAATCTAAATACATTTTATATCCAGCTAGTTTAACCCTCGCTAAGGATGGTTTAAGCAAAAACAAGTAAAGATTAAAACTAATTATTAGTAAATATAACTTTGCTTCAAATGTTCGTCTTAAAAGTATCTAGACTTAGACAGATTTTATTTGTCATTTTGTTTACACAAGTTTAAAGCAAAAAGAAATTTCCTTTGGAACAGCTCTCTGGACAATTTCCTCTTTTTAAAAGTGCAGCCTTGAAAAATGGTTAAAAAATAAATAAATAAATAAAAATAAATAAATAATAATAAATATTATTAAATAATAATAAATAAATAATATATATATATATCCAATCAAATCCACTTTATTTATATAGTATGATTTCAATAAACACAAGGTTTTAAAATTGCTGCACAAAAACATAAAATAAATAAAAGCAAATAAAATAATGTATATCCATATAATCAACGCTCTACGTGGTGTCAAAGGCCAAAGAAAAGAGGTGGGTTTTAAGAAGAGTTTGATAAGTGTGATAAACAGTGATATAAACATATGACCTACAGATTTACAGTTTTAACATTTTTTTATGTAATGATAAAATATAATAAAATACAATAAAATAACTAAGGTTTTATTTTATATATTTACTAAATCTATCCATCAGAATTCTATATTTAAATCAGCAAATTAAAATGAAGCTAAGCTCCATTATGAAGGAATGTAGGTTTTGGTAAATGTGTAAAAAGAAATACTGCAGTACCCAGTGTGTCCACAAGGTGTCAGTGTAGATTAACTTTAGCAGTTTTATTTTTTATTTTTTTCCTTTTTTTAAGTGCGCAGATATTCGGCACATTATCGCATTGGCTTGTCATCATTTAGCTCGTCAGCGCGAATCTTGGCCAACATGATTTCCACTAAGCTAGTGTCGTCTCGTCAGGCTCCGTCAACAGGGTGTAGGTTAATTTTCGAGAGATGCTGGTTAGTTAGCTGAGTAAATAAGCTCCGTGTCTTCAGGTGGATCCCAAACCCGGTGAGCGAACATGTACCGAGCGAGCTTCCGTTTAGCGCTAGGTAGCTAGCTTTAGCTACAGGACAGATTGCCTTTGGGTGTAGAGAGAAAAAAG